AATGTTCTTTTTAAAAAAAAAATTATTGTGACAGCAAGTTCCCAAATATAACATGATTGAACTATGACACCTGGTGCTTAAAAGAAGAAGTTCCTGAACAGAAGTGCATTCTTTGCACTGAAGGTACTAGATCTTTGTAAACTGTAAAGTGCTGTGCACTGGTCTGTTGTTGCTATTTAGGGATGCCTGGGGAGTGAAAGGCAAAGGCAGGCTGTGCCCCACTTCCTGATTTGAGAGAGACAAGCTAGAACTTAGTAGATATTCTTGAATGTGGAACACAGGGCTCTGGCATGAGTCCAGGCGGTGTGGTGGGTCAAAGAAGAGTTTAGAAGGCAGGTGGTGTCAGTGGGAAGGAGGAAAGGTGACCCTGGCATTCATATGCATGGCACCAAGAGAAAATTGCTAGCTCTGACCTCTCTCACAGCAGCTCTGCCCGGCAGCCGGATGCCCTGCTCCAGGCACCAAGCACAAAGGACAGACACACTCACAATCCAATTTGTTACATTTCCACCTTCCAGGGAGAGAGGGAGGTGAAATAAAAAAGAAAGAAAAATCCCATTATCTTTATCTGTCCTTCCCATCAGGTGCAGAGGAAAATGCAAACTGGGGAGACAGCTGCTGTGAACTCTTTATATTTCACTCAGAAGATAGTGTATCTTTTTATTGCCTACAGGAATTACTTATTTGAAAAAATATATCCTTTCAGCTCGCTCGACTTGAGCCGCAAGACAGAGAGAGGGTGGTGGAGTTCTGGGGCTATTGATAGAGCATTTGCATTAAACTACAGGAATCTCTGGAGGTCATGGACAGTGGCAGAAGGGAGAGGAAATGGGGGCTGCAGAGGAGACTGCGTGTGAAGGGAATCGGAGTTCTCTCTACCTCCCTGCTGTGTACCTGGGCCCAGGCACTGTGCTTCTCTAAGCTGCAGATTCTCCATCTGTGCAGGGGAAAGAATGGCACCAATGATTTCCCTTGAGGAGTGAAGGGAGGAGGAAAAGAGCTCCTTAGTTCAGACAGAAAAATGTCCTGCCTCTGCTAGTCTGCTAAGAAGTGGGGAACTTCTCCTAGGCACTTTGGCACCTCCATGCCTGGCACAGAGCTGGCCACAGGGTAGGATCTTCTCATGTTTGTCAGAGAGTTAAGTGATGCAAACAGGTACCTACCCTGCCCAGATACCTGTGAGTGGAAAGGGACGTAAACCTGGTTGTGGGGACAGCCTCACGTGTAGCAGGGGGAGTGCTACCTGGGCACTGTGCCTTAGAGCTCCGCCTCAGTCCCAACTCCTCCCGCTGGGTTCGCTTTCCTTCCCCAGCTTCCAACAGATTGCAGCGAAAGTGGGCCCTGCGGTTCCTGGGATAGTTAATTCTACATGTCAACTTGGCTGGGCCACAGTGCCCAGATATTTGGTCACACAGTATTCGTGATGTTTCTGTGAGGGTGTCTTTCTATGAGATTAACATTTATACCAGGGGGGATTTTGAACAAAGCTGACTTCTCTCCATAATGTAGGTGGGCCCCATCCCATCAGTTGAAGTCCTGACTGGAACAAAAGACTGACCTCCCTTGAGAAAGTGGGAATTCTGCCAGCAGACGGCCTTCAGACTTGAACTGCGTTGTCGCCTCCTCCCTGGGTCTCCAGCCTGCCAGCCAACCCTGCAGATTTTCGACTTGCCAGTCTCCATAATTGTGTGACCACTTCTTTAAAATGAATCTCTTTCTGTTTCTAGACACACACACATGCACGCACACACACAACCCTTGTTGGTTCTATTTCTTTGGAGAACCCTTACTAACGTGGTTTCCTGTCTTAGCTCCTTAATGCCTGGACAAGTCTAGTGAGGGAGTAGAAGGAGAGGAGTGGGAGAGCTCTGAGGAGCAATGAATAGACATGTCAGGAGTGAGCAGTTGGGCAAAGCCAGGGGCCACAGCGATGATGAAAGGCAGGAGCCAAAAGCCAAGCAAGAGTGGGAGGGTTGGGCTGGATTTACTTGGGACAATGACAAGGTGGTGCCAAATGTCTTTGCTTCCTGCTGAGCTGGCCTGGGAAGGGTGCTCCTGTCGTGCCAAGGGCTGGGCATCAGGAGAGGGAAGGCAGCCTTTGCTGGATGCCCTCAGCAGTGAAAGAAGAAAGCACAGCGGGTAGGGGGAGAAAGTTGGGGGTCATGCTGTGCTTCTTGGCCCTGTCCAGCACTTGGGGCTGAGTGAGTGCCAATGTGCTATGCGTCCTATTGGCATAAATAGTCACACCTTACACTTGTAAATTGCTCTTAGGCTTTCAAAGCACTTTCACCTGCATGATGGGAACAACTTTCCTTGCCTCTCTCTCCTCTTGGGGGCTGTGATTGAACGGTGTGGAAAAAGCATTTGGGTCTCTCAGGAGGCCCCAGTTTTCTTGCAATGCAATCTAGCTTTGGTAAGAAGAAGCCTAGAGCTTTGCGGGCAGCTCCAAATGCTGGATTTAAAAGGAAAAAAGGGAACTTCTCAGAAGAGCACCCATCATGGTTGAGCAGGGAGACGTTGCTGAGCAGCTGAGCGAGATGCCCCTTCCCAGTGAGTGGGGGCCCTAAGGTTCAAACTGCCCCAGGCCTCTCTTTGCTTCTCCCTGTTATCTGTCCCTGCTGTGGGGATCTTATTTCTCCAGGTGTGGCCCAGCAGCAAATGTGATGGCAGAGGGATCCCCTCTGTTTGTTTGGGTGCCTGGAGCTTGAAGAGTCATGGTAAGCACTGGAGACCTGTTTCCCCTTGGAAGTGGGTACCTTTCCCTGGCTTGTGCAGCCTCTAGCTGGGGAGACCAGCCACCCTCAGGTAGGTCCTTTTTGCAGAGCTGCCCTTGGGCTTCCTTTCATCATGGTGGATGGCAGGAATGACTGTGCCTGCTTTGTCTGCTGCTGTTTCCACTTCAGATAGTCTAGAACTCTGGCTTCAGGAGGCTTTGCATCCCATAAAAGACTTGCTTTGCTGGGCTTGTGCTCCCAGGCTTTTTGAGGGAGCGATTTAAGGGACTCTCAGGACGAAGGTCACGGGGCTGCCTTCTGTGAGCTCCTCCATGGGAAATCACCTATTCTTAAGCACAGAAGCATACATCTCCTCATGCAGCTGCATGCAGGTGCTCCTTCTGTGTTCTGGCACACCTTTGCAATCTCAGCTTCCAGCATGAAGGAGCCTGCTCCTATCACAGCTCTCCCTCTTGGCCCCACTCTGTCTGGACTCTCCTCCCACCTGAATTGCATTAAGGACCCTGCAAAGCTGAAGATGCCCACAGACAAAACAAAGGAACAGTGGGTGCTAGCTGGTTCCACTACCAAACTCAATTCTCCCTGGAAAACCCCTTTAAGGAGTATCCCACTCAATTGTTTGGACGTGGGGAACACAAAAATCCTCCTTCCAGGAACTGTTCTGTCTCCCACTGGGCCATGACAGGCTCCTTCACCCTATGAGTCTGTGGGATCTTCATGGCAGCAAAAGCAAATCAAATGCACACAGACACATAGGCCTGGTCTGACTCTAAGGGCACACACGTGAGCACACACTCACACCCCTCCCCACCACATCACATATTGGCTTCCTCTGTGTCGCAGAAACAGCATACTCAGAGACACCTCCACAGTGGAGGGAGACACATGCTCACCCAGTCTCCCTCCCTCAGCATCCAAGCTCAGAGCACAGGGCCAAACAGCTTCAGCCAAGAGCCAAGAGAGAGGAGATGGGGTTAAATAAAGAAGTGAGAATTTAGAGGAGTTGCTACAACTTCCTGATCCTAAGAATCTTTAGGCATCAGAATTCAGAGGGAGTGGGGTGAAGCAGTGGGAGGCGACGAAAATTCCCTCTGGATTCTAGAAAATAGCATAGATGCCCGTCTGTCTTGGATGGCTTAGCCAAAGCCAGCTTAGAGGCCAGATGGATGGATTAGAGGCGTCTGAGGGGTCCTCCCACCACTATGTTGCCAGGAATCTCCAGATACGAGCATATACACACATCAGTGCTTCTCCCTCCATGCCCAGCATCAACAAACAGGCACACTCAGTATCCTTATATTATCCTCATAATCAGTGACAGCAGCAGCCAATACTTACTGAATGTGTATGATGGACCACACACTGCATTAAAGAGGCTTTTACATGCATGATCTCACTGAATTCTTACTACAAGGCAGGCACTATGATTATCTTCATTTACAGCTAGGAAACTAAGGCATACACACAGGTTACTTGACCAGGGTCACACAGCTAGGATGTGGAGGCACCAGGACTCAAATCTAGATGTGTTTGATGCTGGCCCACAATGCTGGAACCACCTCTCTTCCCCGCGGGCCTCTTCAGATCCTGGGGCTCCCCATGAGGATTTCCCCCGGATAGCATCCTATGAAATGCTTATGCAAACCATAACTGGCTCTAAGTACAGGTGGCCCTAACCAGCATGCCCTTGTTTATAGAGGCTGGGAGATCTATTCATGGAACATTGAGTTAAAATGTCATCCTTCTCCCCAGCAGGCTGTCATATCTCATTTTCCCTATACTTTCTCTCCATTCTCTATCACTGATCCAGCTCCCTCAAGCTGTAGGCATTCGGCAAAAATTATAGCCACAGAGCTGAGTGGAAGGGAAGAGCCTCGGGTGACGACAGAGGTAGTGGCAGGACCTTGGGACGCAGGAGCTCTGCCCTTAAATCCCTTTCTTTCCAGACATGACTCCTTCATTTCCCACCCCTCTGCTATTCAAAGGACCCCAGAGGCATATCCTGCCAGGCAGATCACCAACAGACTACCAAGTGACTCGCGGCCTCCTCTCTGCAAACTGTTCACTGACCAGCTCTGGTCAATTCCAAGCAGTCCAGGAAGGCAACCCCATGGGCTCCTCGGGGGTCCAGGCATGCCTGACTCTCTCCAGCCAGTGATTCTCCCCCTTGGATCTCTACCCCAGCCCTGCCTCTGCTGACAGGAGAAGGTGAGGTGTGTTCAGGACCAGCCACAAGGACAGCCCCTGGGTGGACAGCCTACTCACCCAGATCCATATCTGCAGCTTTGGGCCGGTGGGAGCAAGGCACATTCTTAAAGATGGCATCTAGAATCTTCTCCTTGACCTGAGTGATGGTGTCACAGTTGAGGATCTTTACTGGGACCTCGGGGCTGTTGGCATTGTCTGGGCTGACACAGCTCAGGACCTGAAGGAAAGGTGGGGAGAGGAGGATATGAAATGGGGTAGCAGGAAAAGCTCCTAGATCCCCAGCAGCACCCTGGGATCCCATTCTAAAAGGCTCTTCCTCTCCAGGATGGGCTGGGGAGGAGTAGGGTGGCTCCAGGCCATCTGTGCTCCCACCAAGTCCACTGACCTTTCCTGTCTGGGTAAGCAGGACAATGCCTTGGCTTCAATGTCCTTGAGGGAGTGCAAGCTGCACACTTCACTCCTTGTCAGAACAAACTTCATTAAAATCCTGATTTTTCAAAGGGACAATGCCCAAGCGTGTGGAAGCAGTAAGGGGAAATTTGCAACAGAACAGACACCAAAGCATCCATGCACACGTGCTATCTCTCTCACATGCACACAGGAGGCAGTGTCGCAGCGGCACACCCAGACCCTCGCCCACCTCTGAAACCCCCTGCCCATCCATGTGTGTCTTGTCTCCTTCTTGTCACTCCTTCTCGGATGCATACTCACACACAGAACTAATAGGAATCTGGCTTCTTTCTCCAAAGATTTCACAAGCTTCGATTTTTGTGAAGGTTTCATTTGCCTGATTAGAGGTTGGCAAATCTATAAGACACTTAATGTATTCTTTAAAAATAAAAAGATGCCCTTTAAAGATTGCAGGTTCAGGACACCTGAGATTCTTTCCTGGCCCTGAACTTGAACCCCTGTGTTGGGGGAAGAGGTGACTGCATAGTTCAGGGCCTCCATTTCTCTTTTTGGAACTAGTAGGAAAAGTTAAAACTCTGCTTCACCAAACTATCTTTTTATTTTTATTTTTCCTTGAAAAAGTTCTGGGCTTTTCCTTTAAAAAGAACAAGGCTTTTCTTCTCTTGCCGTTCTCACAGTGGGATCTTTCTACATCGACGGCACCGTGTGGGCTCCTGAGTAGACTGGTGGGGAACAGGGGTGGGTGCTGTGGGTACTGTAATAAGTGAGGGCACAAGACCCAAGGCAGAGAGGCTGGGCATCCTAGGGGTACTGATGCCAAGTGGCCCTCCCCTTCTGGGCTCCCGAACTCTCCCTCGGGCCCTGCTGCCAGAGAGCCCTCTGTGAGTCTCTCTTCTTCTTGGAAATTTCACTCCCTCTGTTCCCCCATAAGCATTTCCCAATTGTCCTATCTGGTTTGCAGAGCCAGACACCAGTCTCTCTCCCACTCCACCCCCCTTCTTGCTCCATGTGGTGGCAATCAGAACCCGGGGCTCTGGGCACCTGCCTTTCATTAGCAACTAGACTGCTATGAGCTCCAATGGAAACATGCTTATTCCATTAAGAAGGGGAAGAAAAAAAACCCTGAAATCTATAAAACCAAACTCTCACCCTCAAAATGCCCTAACCTGAAAACAATGGTGGAGAGACCTCTGCCTTGAGTACTCCATATGTGCCTCCTCCCAGCTCTCCCCTCCTTCTAAGAGTCTTCTGGCCCCTTCCCTCTGCTCCACAGCTGAGAAAAGCCTGACCCCTGGGCCATTCTGGCAGCCCCTGCTGTCCTGTCCTATGGGCCTGGTGGGGCAGCTCAGCCTTCCCAAGACAGCAACATGGTTTGCTCTGGGCTTCCTCCTCTGAGGGACCCATGAGGCAGAGGCGGCCACCTAAATGTAATCTCCTGGCATTTCTAGTTGCTGCAGGAGTTCAGCATGGCCTCATGAGAACAAGTCCATGGTGCACTTCAGGGCAGGGGTTGGCGTTCTAAAGTGGAAGCAGTGGCCCCACAGAAGGACAGAGCCCCTGGCCACTGGCCAAGCCAGAGCTCCACCCACAGGTTCCCTTCCCCCATGCTCCTTGGCTAGTTTGTGAACAAGCTGCCTCATGATTTCTCTGCCAGGGAACTGCCTCTCAGACGCTTATGTGCATACAAGCACTTGGGGGCTTTGTTGAGATACAAATTCTGATCTAGGAGGTCTGGGATGGGGCCTGAGATTCTCCATTTTTCCAGGTTCCCAGGCAACTAGCTAATGCTCCTAGGTTCCCCGGTGGGCATCTAGTGCTCTAGCAGGCTTCCAGGTGCATGTCTAGAACTCCGGCAGGCTCCCGGGCAGGCACCTAGCACTCTGGCAGGCTACCAGGTGGGCATCTAGTGCTCCAGCAGGCTCCTGGGTGGGCAATTAGTGCTCTTGCAGGCTACCAGGTAGGCATCTAGCATTGCCTGGCTCCAGGCTTCCACATGGGCACCTAGTGTTCTAGTGAGCTCCTAGGTAGGCATCTTGCACTCTAGCATCCAGACGTTGCTGATGTTGGTACTGGGGCACTCCCACTAGCAGGGTCCTTGGCCACACCAGTCCAAGCTCCAGCATCAATCCAATAAATCACTAAACCCTTAGGAGGCATACCTGACTGCAAAGTGGTACACTCACTCTCCCCACAAGCCTCTTAGAGCCTCTCTGTGGTTATCTCTCCCGCCCAAGACAAGGCTACTCTTAGCAGGCCCATAGCACTCTGGGCTCCTCCAGCCACCGCCAAGTCCCAAGACTCCCTATCTTTGTATTTGGCTTGCTCTTCGGAGTCTGCACGCCCTGTATGCTGTCGTCCTGCAGGATTTCTTGCTGTCTGCCCACACCCTGAAAGGGCTGCTCCCCTGCACATGTGCAAATACCTTCCCCAGGCCTGAAGGTGGCTATTAAAGCTCCCTGTGGCAGGCAAAAAACCGCAGTTTCTTTCCTCTCTCCTCACTGCTCCTGTCCCCAGGTGTTCCCACCTAAATGGATACTGGTCCCTGAACCACTCCAATGTCCTCACGTTCTCTTTAAGTTGTGGCACCCAAAATCAGCTCAGTGCACTAGCACTACTGTGGCCTCTGGAACAAAGGATGCTACAATCTGGGGACAGAACATGATTACAACTCATTGTGTTGGATTCAATATTGGGAAGGTGCTGAGGAGACAGGAAAGAAAGGGAGTGGAACGGGGAAGACAGGGTGGAAGACATTTATGCAGTAGTTCTATCTCATTAAGAAATCCATTCAGGTCTCTATTTCTGGAAGGGTTTTTCCCCCCTTTTCCATTTTAATCGGAGCCTCTCTCTCTCTCCTTCCAAGCAGATGGTAACTGCCAGGAAGCAGGGGCCTCGTTCGCAGGCTGCTCCTTTGAATCTTCATAAGGAAGCCAATCCCCACAAATCTGTTCCGATGTCTACTGGGATTCCCGGGGCTTTTGGAAAATGAGAGTGGGATAGGTGGATCACGGTCGCAGTCTTCCCAGCCAGCAGGGATGGCTTTGTTCAGAGGTGGGAACTGTCTCCCCAGCTGGCCACAGGGTCTGGAATTTGCCCTCGACTCAGAGCAGTTGCAGGGGTTGTCCGGGAATCACACTCCCTCCCAGTCCTACCACGCCCCGGCCTGCTGTGGCTCCCTCTGCATTTGAACTTCCATCTGTTCCCTGTCCTCATCATTCCCTTCTGTCTCTTTTCCTTCCTTCCATTCTTGGGTGCTACTTGCATATCACCCCCAACACTCAGCTTTTATCTTTTCATACTCCCTCCTTCCATGTCCTCTCTCAGAGAGAAAGGGCTGGCTGGAGATCACAATGATCTCCAAAAAATCCTGAGAGTGAGCTCCCTGGGTTTGAAAAGACAGTGAGCAGTGAGTGGACACACGGTCACAGTGGGGAGAGGCAGGCGGGGCCTGTGTGACCAAGCACTAGGGCATGAGTATGACACAGGCTTCACCACCTGCTCATCTTGTCCCATTGGATCCCCTGCACAACTTCACTCTGAACAACTAGGATTATCCCCACTTTAGTCGGTTCTGTTGGTGTTCTCATTTTTTCCGATAAAGACACCCAAACTCAGAGAGATTAGGGACCTATCCCGATTCACCCTGTTGGTCGAAGGCAGAGTCAGGGCTCAAATACAGGTCTGTCTGATCCCAAAGGCCATGCTCTTGAATGCTAAGCCTTGGTGCCTCCTAGCGTAGCTGTTTTTGTCAGGTGAGGGAGCCTGACCTTAACGGAGGGGATCCCTATGTTCCTTCGGCAAACGCCTTGCACCACCACGCCCCCTTGGCTTTGCATTATACAGCTCGGGTCACAGTTGTATTTGAACTTAGAGCAGAAGGCAATGTGGGCTTCAGAACTATGAGGAACTCTTTCTAGCTTCCTTTCCTCTCTGTCCCCCGCTCTCTGCCTGCACGGACCTCTTCTGTAAAGCATTGACTCTAAGCTGGGAGGACAGAAGAGGAGTTCACCTGGGTCAAGGGCTATGACCCTATAACTGGTGTAGCCAGAAACCCCTAGTTCATTGGCTGAAGTGTCACTCAAATGTGTCTGAGCTACTGGTCCCCAAATCCAAATGCGCTGGTGAAACACAACAGAGGAAGTCTGGGGTGATAGACACAGGGGGAGCACCTGGCTGGGCCCATACAGCAGACACACCTGAAGAGGTGACCATTCAGCCTTTCCGCCATCCCCTCTGCTGAGCAGGGCTACCCAGGACCGAAGCCCGCCTGTCAAAGCCCCAGGGGAAACAGATGGGTGGGCTCACCAGGGTTTTGTAGTCAATCTGCTGGCGGATGAGCTTGTCCTCGCTCAAGGAGTAGCGGGCCTCACCCGTGATGGCGTCGATGGGGCCCTTCTCCATCTGCTGCTTGATGGCACAGAACAGAGAGAAGAGGGGCTCCCCGGCACACTCCTGGAGGTGAGAAGAACCTCATTGGGAGCAGCTCCTGGAACATTGGAGTGCACCCCAGAGTTCCTACTTCTCCAAAGGGCGGCTTCCATTCCCTGCCAAGTCCCTCCGCCTTCCCCCACCTGCTTTTATACTCAGCTCTTCAATCTCCTTCTCTCCAACTCCTCATCCTTCAGGGTGGCATTCCTCCTGGCTCTTTGCATCACAAGGTCTTTTCCCATTCTGCCTGTTTCTCCTTTCCTACTGCTGCCTCTCCAGGGCTCTTTCTTCCTCCCCCCCTCCCCTCCCCTCCCTTCCTGCCCTCCTCTCAGCTCCTCCTCCCTGCCAAACCCCGCTCTCTCAGAGGCTCCATCCAAAGGCAGAGGTCAGTCCTGGGTGGCACGAACTCTTTAGAACATAAGTTAATAATTGGAAGCTGAGCCTCTTCCACCTCCCATGCTCATCCCTGGCTTATCTGCCACAACATGCGGCTTCTGCACCGGCCCGGGGCCCTTATCAGCCTCAGTAAGTCTGGAGCTGGGAGAGGGAAGAGGAAAAGCAGAGAAATAATGGGCAAATTGTTTTTAGCTTCAAAGGGGGATTCAGCTTTAGGGACCATACAGGGCCTCTCAGGGCTCATCTGTTCCTCGCCAGGAGGGAGGAAACTAGCTTCAGGAAGACTGTGTCTTTGGAGCTATGATGGACTGCAGGCCTCTGTTTTCCTAGACAGTCCATGATAAGGATGGATTCCATTTCTTGTGGGGTTATAAGAGCCAGGCCCAGTAAGGGAGAACTGGGGGTTGTGGAGTGATCCCCAGTCAGGCTGCAGAGAATGAACGAGGCAGGGCCAGAAATACGTCCACATCCAACCCTACCTTGAGGAACTTGTAGAGGAGGAAAGTGAACCAATTGGTCAGCATCTTCTCAGCCACTGACTCAGTCCTGTCAGCAGTCACCGAGGGAAGCAGCGGAACAAGACAAAGAAAGAAGCAGCTGGTCAGAGCCCGCAGGCTGGGAAGGGCAGGGGAGGAATTGTGCATTGATCTTGCTGCTTCTAGCGTTTAGGCCAAATCTTGAGATCCTAATGAATATAAGACTTTCATGGACTCCTAGACGCCCCCATAATGGTAAGACAAGCTTTTCCTACAAAGCTGGAAGATGACATTTTGGGCGTCAGGCTGTGGGAGGGTTTTTGGCTGGAGTGCCTTAGAGCACCGCTGACCAATTGCACATTCTGTGATGATGTAAAATTTCTCTACCTGTGCCGTCTAATATGGCAGCCACCAGCCACACGAAGCTACTGAGCACTTGAAATGTGGCAGCATGTCTGAGGAACTGGCCCTGAACTTGTATTTATTTTTAACTAATTTAGATTTAAATAGTCACATGTGGCTCAAAGCTATCCTATTAAATAATATAAACTTAGAGAACTTTACGGGCTAGTTGTGTTCTTTTGGGTGAAAAAAAAAAAAAAAAGAATCCCAAATTCCTGGGGAGGTACCAATTTGGCAGGGAATAGGAATAAAGGTGACGGGAGAAGGGTCCATGTCAGAAGGCCAGATGGCCAAACTGAGCCTACAGCCTGAGCTAAAGGCTCCTGGCATTCACAGCAGCATAAAGCCATATACTCAGCTCATCCCAAGCCGTGTCAAAACTGTCCTATTGCGGCTGGGCGCAGTGGCTCACGCCTGTAATCCCAGCACTTTGGGAGGCCAAGGCAGGCAGATCATGAGGTCAAGAGATCAAGACCATCCTGGCCAACATGGTGAAACCCCGTCTCTACTAAAAACACAAAAATTAGCCGGGCGTGATGGCACGTGCCTGTAGCCCCAGCTACTTGAGAGGCTGAGGCAGGAGAATCGCTTGAACCCAGGAGGCGGAGGTTGCAGTGAGCCAAGATCTTGCCACTGCACTCCAGCCTGGCGACAGAGTGAGACTCTGTCTCAAAAACAAACAAAAACAAACAAACAAAAAACTGTCCTATGGCAAAAGCTTCCACATCCTTTGGAACTTCCCTTGGGAGCCCTTTTACAGTTTCATTTGCAATGACAGAAAGTTCATTCTTGAGTCTAACTTGTGTCTTTCATGCTACAACACAAGCCCATCTACTCTTTTACTTTGGAAGTGAAGATGCAGAAGCAGTGCAGTAAGCCCAAGGACATTCTTGGTTGCATCCATTTAGAGAAAACAAATTACGTTCAAACTTGCACTAAGTATGTGGCCAGTTCCAGAGAGAAACTAGCCCATCCAGGTATGTCTGGATAGTTTAAAGTTGCAGTTGCCAGAAAATGCTAATAACTGAAATCCCAAGGTAGTTGGGAGGCTGCCAGCACAAAATGAAGCTGGGAAGGAAAAGAAGGAGGAATATTGAAAGGAGGTAGGCAGCCAGGGGCAAGAAGAAGAAAAGGAAAGGAGAGCAGAAGGAAGCAAGAGCATCCAGGAGAACAGGAATGGAAAATAAGGGTGGGGAGACACAGAGGCAGAGCGAGACCACGCCGGGAAGTTGTCGGTGGGAGCTCTGGCAGGCAGTGGCAACCCTGGAATTATGCCAGTGGGTGGCTGTGTGGTGAAAGTAAAACAAAAATCAAAATGATCTACCTTGCTGTTTCCAAAGCTGTCTGCTGGCTCTTATATGCAGCAGACTTTTGCAGCTGTGCAGGCAAATGCCCACTGCTCCAGGAAAAAGCCTGAAGTAAACACTTCTGAAAGCCAAATCTATCTGCTGGACCAAGTGGGAACCACTGAAGCCTAGCCTTAGACCCAGAGACCAAAGATGGAAGTCTGAGGGACAGGCAGAGAGCACATGAGTGGTCTAGGCAGAGGGCTAGACAAAATGACATGATGTGGGAGTTTTCTAACTTCAGATATGCCAAGGCCAAAGGTATTGGAATAACGGCCTAGAGGAGAAATGGTCATAGGGTACACAGAAAGTTCAAACAGAAGCACTGATAGAGTGAGACAGTCTCTAGTTCCTATAAGGCCAAAGTCACAGGATAAGGTTATGTCTTTACATAGGACCTTTAAGGTTTCAACAGTATCAAGTCTGAGGCCTCCAGGGTGTTGAGTGGTGGACTTTGGTCCCATTTAGAGCCTATAGCAGGTGCCAGGAAACACTCGCTGGGCTGCACTGAGTGAGACATCACCAAAGGACTTTCCTTCAGTGCTTCTCAAACTTTAATATGGATTGGGATAACCTGGGTTCCTCGTTAAAATGCAGATTCTGATTCAGTGGGTCTGGGAGGGCCTGAAATTCTACACTTATTTATTTATTTATTTAGAAACAGGGTCTTGCTCTGTTGCCCAGGCTGGAGTGCAGTGGTGAGATCATGGCTCACTGCAGCCTCAAACCCCAGGGCTTAAAAGATCCTCCTGTCCTAGCCTCCAGAATAGCTGGAAATTTACAGGTGTGCACCACCATGCATGGCTAATTTTTATATTTTTATTTTTGTAGAGATGAGGTCTATGTTGCCTGCTATGTTGTCCAGTCCGGTCTTGAACTCCTGGCCTCAAGAGATCCTCCTGCCTTGGTCTCCCAAATTGTTGGGATCACAGGCATGAGCCACTGTACCTGGTCTGTGATTCTGCTTTTCTAACAAGCTCCAGCATGCTCCCGATGCTGCCCCCTGCCACCTGATGGCATGAGGCCACAGGTCTTCTCTCCTAATCCAACTTTGGACTTAGATAAGGCCAGAGGATGGTCTAAGTGACCTCTGAAGATTCCATGAGAGGAGATTGCAGTAGACAGGGTCAAGATTAAGTAGAAGGGCAGAGAAGCAAAAATGGAGATTTGACATAGGGGCAAGAGAACAAGAGGGTGAGCCAACAAGTCCATGCACCCTTGACTCCTGAGGACAGTGGACAGATTCTTCTCAGGGGGCCTGCAATGTAGCCCTGGCTCTGGGCTAGTTAGTGCCTTGAACTTAGGAACGTGACTGCTCTCCTAGGAGCTCTACCCCAGTCTCCCTGCAAGGCACGGTGAGCCAGGTGCATGACTGGGCTGGAGCAGGGTGCCGCAGACTGCACCCTCACCTCCTGAGCAGCAGCTTGGGGTGGTTCTTGCTCTCCAGGTTCTTGTCTATGAGGTCGGCCAGCAGCTGCTTCAGCACATCAGTGGCGTACTCCAGCTTGCTCTGCAGCACGGTCATGATGAGCGAGGCCACATTGCCACGGTCGCGCATGGAGAAGCTACGCTGGGACTCGAGCGTGCGGATGAAGGACAGCAGGAACACCTTGTTGTTGATGAGCTGCGCGAAGAGCTTCAGGCCTTTCTCCACACGCTCCTGCCGGTAGCCCGGGACCTGCAGAGAGACCTAGGAGTCGTGATGCCATTGGCAGGGTGGGGAGCTCAATGACCTCCCCATGGGACGGCTGTGCCCATACCCATGACCCTCTCACCCACCAATTAAGCCACAGTTCACCTGGCTAATGCTGTGAAGCCCTTAGCACTGAGTTAAGTATCTGATTAACCTCGACTGCAGCCTCTAGTTTAGAGACGAATCAATTGAAGCACAGAGAGGAGAGCATCACATGGTTAGTAAATGGCGGGGCTGGGATGGCACTCACTTCTGCCAGACTCCAGAGCTCTTCCCTGATGGTGACGCAGAGTTGATGAGGGCCCCTGTGCCATGGCAAAGCACCTCACAGTCCCTATGGGGAATTCCAGGTGCCCAGGGCTGTCATGGTTTACACCCTGAGAATCCCCAGCCCTAAGCCTGGGACTAACCTAATGCCCACCCCTCTTCAGCCCTAGGGGTGCTGTTGATACACCAGTGGCCTCAGAGTCAGGACATCTGGGTTCCACGTGGATTCTGATACCACCTTGCTGGGTAACACTGGGTAAGTCTCTTTCCTTTTCTGGGGGCCTAAGTTTATCCACATGATAAAAAGGGAAGATTGAGCCCAACCATCTCTAAAGAACTTTCTAACTCTAGCATTTGCTGTTTTCTTAGGGACCCTTTCTAAGACCCTGCTCTATCCAGGGGAAGAGGAAAAAGACAGTCGTATTTTCCTGCCTCCGTTGTCTGTTCATTGGGAGATCCCTGCAAGGGTGTGCCATTCACTCAGCAAGCATGAGTCAACAACTCAGGTAAGTATGGAAGATCCACCTCTGAGATGTCCAAGTGTGTGCATTGCAATCCTGTCAGTAATAGCTCCAAACTGGAAACACTCAGATGTCTAGCAACAAGAGAACAGGTGGAAGAACTGTGGTGTATTCTACCTAATGGATACCACACAGCAACAAGAATGAATGACCTATGGCCACACACAATAACAGGATGGGTCCTGCAAATGTACTGGATGAAAAAAGCCAGATGCTAAAGAGGGCATAGTCTTCATAGAATACCATTTAAAGAAAGATTTAAAAAGCAGATAAAATTAATCAATGGCTGTAGATAAATGGCTGCTCTAGCGGGTGGCTGTAACTAAAAGGGGGCACCCTGGGACTCCTGGGGGACTGGCCATGTTCTGCTTGGTGCTGGCTTGATGGGCATGTTCACTTGGGGAAAAGTCATTGAGCTGCACGCTGACAATTTGTGCATGATTTGTATGCATGCTTCTGTTAAACCAAAAAACTTACTTAAAAAGTCAGCTATAGGATCTGCCCCCAAGGGGGAGCTTCTGAGAACACTGCAGGGTGTGTCTCCTGAAGTGGGGTGCTGGAGGAGGCAGGGAGTGGGAGGGATGGTGTGGGGAGGTGCCTTCGGAGCCACACCTTGAGGGCTCTGTCTCCCTGAGGGGGTGGATACTCACTCCTGATACTCTAGTTCTTTGAGAAAGAGTGTCATGTATACAGCAGTAACGAGCCTGGTTTCAGAGTCCATCACACTTGGGTTTAATTCTGTCACAGTCATTTCCTAGGGCCCTTAGTGACTCAGTTTCTTCACCAGCAAAATGAACATAATGATAGCTAATATTGATATAGATCTAACTCCACACTACTATTCTACGTACTTTAGAAATACTGACCCACTTAATGCACACAGCACCAAAAGGTAGGTTTGTTATAATCCCTATGAGGGACCCTGTGAGGCTAAGGAGCTTCACAAAGCCCCAAGACAGAGAAGGGTGGAGGGAGGTCATGAATCCAGGCACTTGGCCCCTCGTTCCGCCATCTCCAGGGACCATGATGTGAATTGAAAGGAGAGAGTGTATGAAAAGCTGATGCATAGCCCAGCTCCTAAAGAGCAGCTACATTCCCCTGCTCTACTCTTGAGGTTTTAAACTGGGAAAAATGGAGATGGCCAGAGAAAGCCTTGTTTAACCAAAGTCACAGGGTGGCAGAACATTCATGATCCTCATTACCAATTCCCTGTGTTCCAGGCTCAGGGCAAGGCACTGGCAGGAGGCCAGGTTCAGTCAGACCTAGGCCCTGTCCTGAGAATTTCAACCAGGAGGCCAGCCCCAGCGAGTCCTGAGGTCCCTTCCACAGCGGGAACTCTGTGAGCCAGCCCTGCACCCTGCACAGAAGGGCTCTCATTGAAACCTCCAACTTGCCGGGTATCAGTAGCTCCTATGGATCTGGAAGCTATAGGAAACGTGTGTGTTTCCAAATCAGGTCCATTTTCATTTCTCTCACTGTGGTGCTGGTCCTTGGAGGGCCAGTTCTCAGGAGACAGATGGGAACAGCCAGAGACAAGCAGGCTACAGCAGGCCACAGCCCCTGCTGGCGAACCCCTTACCTCCGGAGGTGGGACTAGCCTCTGCTTTCTTCATGCCCGCCTCCCCCAGTTCTCCCCTCCACTGGGGGCTGATGAGGGAAGGGCAGCCTTACCTTGCCATCAGCCCGGGCCTCCATTGCCCCATTTATCTGTCTTCCAACTCTGTGACCACCCCCGTCACATACATGCCACTGTCCTTCAAATTACTCAGAAGAGCAGTTCTACAACTTGTTCTAATAATAGTAGATAATGTCATTTCTTGGGCACCCACTATGTGCAATGCACAGTGCCTGGCACATTACACACATTGTTTCAATGAATTTTTCTAATGTGCTTGTAAAATTGAGCGAACAATCTCTCAGAGAAGCTATTGCAGCTATTCCAAGGCAGCGTATCTCATGACAGGCAGAGTTGGATTACGAAACCCAAACTTGTTTGGCTCCCAAGTGCCCGTTTGTCCTCCCCATCTTTTACCATGTCTAGCCCTACCCCTGGGCTTGAGAGCTGTCTGAAAGCCAACTCAGACGTCTCTCTAAAGCCTTCCCATGCAGGGCCTCCCACCAGCTCAGACTGGCTGGCTAAGAGAGGGCAGTCACCAGAAGGCTTAGCACTATGGCATTTAGAGAGGTGGAAGAGGACATGGGTTGGTCAGATAGCACACTTGGTGTGAGGATGCACTCTGGGCTTCTTGTGAGGCTGACCTTTCTCTGTGTGCAAAATGCACATGCCTTCTGGGAAGAGGTCCGGGTTCCTGGGAAGGAAGATTTTAGCAAAGCCACCTACAGCGAAATAGTATCCTATTCAGCAGCATGGGTTTTAGAAGCAGAGAGACCACAGTGACTCATAGGTGGAGGAAAACTCCATCACCTCTGGGCTCTATTGCCTCTCCTGTAAAATGAGAATATGAGTGTCTATGTCGTAATGTTTTATGAACATTAAATAAGATAATGTATGTAAAGTGCTTGGCATGCTCCATGCACACTTAAACGGGGACAGTTTTATTACCTGCCTTTCAGACTCCCTGGACTGCTTTCCAGGGATCCCTTTCCTCCAAGAGTTTCCCAGACATCTAGTGCATCAGGACAGTGTTTTGGGGTGTGGGAGGTAGGAATTTTCTCCCCACTTTATGAAGGAAGGAGATGGAAGTAAAGTGTCTTTGTAAGGAGTATCCAAAACAGTTCCTCACTGTTGCCTGCCACCCTCCCCAGCCCAAGCAAATGCTACTCTGAAACAAGACTTTCTTTATTCACCAGATGGTTCTCTAATTTAGTTGAAGTCTGTGAGTATAAAACTGGATAGTAAATTTTAATTGTAACCCAATAGGTTAGAGTTTAGGAGCCAATGATAGGTTGAAATTGGGAGTGGAAGATTGCTCTGTATTTTAAAGGGTTGCTACATGACTAGTGCCTGGGAAGCACCTTTCTTGAAGGCCTGGATTTAACCCAGAGAGCCCTACGTGAGGGGGCCGGGTGACCTCCCCTCCAGGAAAGCCTGAAGCAAGAGGATACCTCCTTCTTCACACTTCCAGAGGTGAGCAGGAACCCCAGTGGCTGAAAGGGTTGGGAAATACTGGTTTGGATTAATCAATGACTTGTTTCCATACTCAGAACACCAAGGGGGAGAAACTACTTCAGGGGCAAGTAGGGGTTGGAAAAAAAACAAATAAGAAAACAGTGATGCACACACAGTCCCTCAATTTCACATAGAAGGCTGGATCTCACATAGCTCCAGGCTAATGCAGGTCAGTAAAAGTTCTCGGAAAATCCAACTTAAAAGTTACATCTTTAAAGGAAACTTACTTAGATTTGGAATTCTGAACTCATGAAGAAAGGAGAATAACTTTATATACTCGTCCTCGCTGCATTCTTATTTAGATTATTCCATCCCATCCACAGAGTAGTATGGGAATGTTCAGACATAATTTCCCTTCCTACAACCCCATTTCCACCTTAACTCAGCCAAACACACAGATACTCATTTATTCAATCATTTACCACTTCCCACATGCCCACTATGTGCCAGGCACTCCACTCTGCTGGAAGTTAGAACTACAAAGATAAATAAGGTACATGCACAGTCTACACAGCCAATCACACATACACGTGTGCACACAATGGTCTTATCTTCTTGTCCCTCTCATGTCTCACTTTAAACAGGAATTTGCATACTCTCCAGGGCCCTAAGAGAATCCTGGTAATTTGAAGCAAACAAAGTTGAGGCTGGAGAAAAATAAAAGGAAGGGAAAAATGAGTGGGACTGGGGGAGGAGCAAAGACCAGGAGCAAGACGAAGGAAATGGATGGATAAAAGTATCAGGATACACGTTATGTTTTTATTTATGCACGGGATACATGTATACATGCATGTACACATACATACCTATAGACAGAGAGAAAAGGTACCTTGACAATGAGGACATAGAGACCGTCACCTCCAACTTCTGAAAGTGTCTCTTGGTATCTAGCAGTTGAGGAGCCAAAGGGAGCCTCCTCCAGAAAGAAAAGCCCATGCCCTCAATATAGAAAAACACACAAGCGCATGCTTCATGCAACAAGCAAGTATGGAGAAATGTGTGTGCCACAAATGCCCCTCTGGACTTCTCACATTTGCTGCAGAGGTACACAGCCTACTACATTCCCTTGGAGAGCCCGCTTAGACATTCCCTCGGGTGTCGGTACCTGCAAACCCACACAGCTCCTGTGTGATGGGTCTGTTTTTATTTTATGGACAATGTAAACCTTGGAATTAATCTTAGTTTGCATTGTTGCTTTGGCTGTAGATTTTTGATCCATCCACAGCTGTAAGGCAGGTCACTGACATAGCTCCCCAGAAGTCCGGCACAGAGGCCTGTTGTTGGGAGGGAAGACACTGACATCTAAATGCCTGAGCTCAAATCTCCCTTCGGCCCCCACCAGCTCTGTGGTCCCAGGCAACCACTGAACTCTGGCCCCTTAGTTTTGTCACCTGCATAATGGCCTTACTTACTGCAGAGGCTTCTTGGGAGGTGAAATGAATGAATGCATGCAAAGTGCTTAAACTGGGCTAAGATGTTAGTAACAGTCAATTCATAGTGATTACTCCTTAGGATTATTATTCTGTCCTGGTCTTTTCTCATTTATATTTTTCACTTTTCTCTGGTATTTATCTCTGTAAGCCATTCCAAAGCCCTTTCAGAACAAAGTATAATATGAATAGACACATAAGCCAGATACCATGCTAGATAGTAAGCAGGATAAAGTGTTCAAAAGATGAGGTCCCTGCTGGTAGAAGACAGGGTTATGATTTCTGATTCACATTTCCACCCCGCTTCCCAACACATCGTTTACCTTTTCCAATTAAGCACTAAGTGGTAAATCCCTTATATATTGAGTACCAAGTATGTGAGTCAAATCCCCTACTTCATGGACCCTTAACCAAAGGTCCCTGAGGTTCCCCAATGTATTTGCCACGTTTCTTGTTTCTGTGCATATGTAGTTTCTTCTGGGGAGAGGGACATCAACTACTTCCATTCAATTCTGAAAGGGCTCCATGACCCTCTAAGATCCGAAGCCCTACTCACATCTCTGTTCCAAGGTTCCCTGGCTTGGCCCCACCTCTTCCAGAGGGATGGGCTGACACTGACAAGCTGGGGGACCTTGAGCAAGTTGTGTCCTCTCCCTGGCCTTAGCTTTCTCACCTCTGAAAGAGGGGCTGGACTTGAAGATCACCAACACACTCCCCTGCTCTAACGCCAGGATGGAGCACTGCTTCTCACCTCGAGGTCCCGGAGGACAGGGTGGTCTTCAATTCCTGGGAACAGCACCCTCATGGTATAGGTTCTGTAGTCCAGGAAGGGAATCCCGGCTCCATCCAGGTCACTGGTCAGCTCATGGATGTCCGTCTGGAGCTCGGCAAAGGCTGGCACGAAGAGAAGCCTGTGAGATGGCTGGATAGGGAGGCCCCAGGAGTCACCTCCATCTCAGAATGCTCAGAACCCTTACCCAAGCCACTAGGAGACATGAGCAATGGACCACGATGGGCAGGAATAACTGGAGATGCTGTTTACTTAGCTGGGATTGGGATGAACTGCATTAGCATGGGAGAAAGATGTAGTGCAAGAAACCTTGCATTGGGGCTAAAACCTTTCCAAAGTGTGAGTGATGGGGGATGGTGGGTGAGGCTGTCCACAGATCTGTGCTACTGCTGGGCCAGGAGAGACTCCCCATCTGAAGATGAAGGGCTTTGGTTTGCAAAATATGCTGGGGAGGGGGATGTAGAGGGATGAGTAAGAGAAGCGAGAGGTACCATGAGTAAGTGTCCATTCCTGATGCTGTGTTTTATAATAGATTTCCTTATAAGATGACAAGAACAACTTCTGATAAAGGAAAACAAGTTTAAAGACACAAGTCTGGACCATGCAGCTCATGAGAGCCATCAAACCTCCAAATGAGGCAGAGATGGAGGCTCAGCCACACTCAAATAGTCCTTCTGTATAAATAGGCAAGGTATTTCTCTGCCCTTCCTTCCTCAAGGTGATGCTACTTGATGGTGAATTATGACCTGCATATGGGCACTGCTGTGTGTGGTGGCAGCTCAGGTCTCCAGATGAACACAGTGGCAAGACCCCCCAGGAAAGTGAGCATGCAGTACAGCCTGAGGCTGTTACATAGCGCCAAAGCTGTCACCATACTTCGTTCTGAGAACATCCTCCCCCAGGGCCACCCTCTGCCACAGGGGTACTCAGGGGTGAGGCACCCAGCCCTTCCCTGCTCTGCCTTTCTCTTTGGTGTGTGCACACACACATATGTGTGCATGCATGCACATGGACAACCAGGACGGATTAACACATGCTGGCAAAGAACAGCCAGTGGGCATTGACTACTAAAAAATATTCCTTTCTATTTACATAATCTCAAAAATAGGGAGAAAATATTTTGTGAACTCAGAAGGGATGAACAAGCCCAATGTGGCTCTAGAGCCTCAAAAAGCAAGCCAAGCGCCCAGTGAGCCGTGATAATTACAGAAACACAACACAGCCACTCTAGGAACTGTCTACAGGGACCCCAGTCTCGCCCGTGCCCATGAGTTGGGTAGAGCTCCACACTGCAGAGCAGACTTCAGGCCCTCAAATTTTGGCTTTCTGTACCAGGAGAATACCAAGACTGCTTGTTTGAGAGAGCCAAGAGGATGCCACCTGGAGAGGCCTCTGCAACCTCTCCTGCTGCTCCTCTCTCCCTGCACCTCTGCACCTCTGCACTGGCCACACAGACACAGGGGTTCCTGATATGTAGCCTGACTTTGACAGTAGAGAACCCAAATGCATCCAAGTGGAGCCTGCACCAATGTGTGTGCATGTGTTTTTGGCATGTGCTGTCACCAAAACCCCTGGGGAACACTCATGTATGTCCTGAGTGAGGAACATGGGTGTGTATGCTTATAGGAGAGCATGGGAACATGTGCATGAGCATAGGTGTGGGTATGTGGGCACTTATCTGAGTGTGTATGTCAGGGAGTGTGAGTGTGTGAGTGTGACAGTGTGTAAGCATGTCAGGGAGTATGTATGACAGTGTGTGAGCATGAGTGCATGAGGGTGTGTATGTCAGTGAGTGTGTAGGCATGTGTGAGTGTGAATGCCAGTGAGTGTGTATGCATGTGTGAAGGTGAGTGCATGGGTGTGAATGAATGTATGTCCATGAGTGTGTATGTGTGTGAATGTGAGTGCCTGCGTGTGTGTCTCAGTGTGTATGTGTGTGACTGCATGAGTGTGCATGCATGTCAGTGTGGGTGCATATGTGTGTGTTGGTGTGTATGCAAGTATGAATGTGAGTGCATGAGTGTGAGTGTATGTGTGTATGCATGTGTGAGTGTATGAGTGTATGTGTGCAAGCACTTGTGAATGTGAGTGCATGAGTATGTGGGCATGTCAGTGTGTGCATGCATGTGAGTTGAGTGCATGAATGTGTGTGTGTGCAAGTGTGAGTGTGTGAGTATGTCAGTGTGTATGTATGAATGTGAGTACATGAGCGTGTGAGCACATGAGTGTATGTCAGTGAGTGTATGTATGTGAAAGCATGAGTGTGTGAGCATGTCAGTGTGTGTGGGCATGTATGTGAGTGCACAAGTGAGTGTATGTGAGTGTGCATGCATGTGGGCATGTGAGTGTATGTGTTAGTCCATAAGTGTATGTCAGTGAGTGTGTGTGGGTATGTGTAGGAGTGTTTGCAAATACATGGGTATGTTTATATATCAGAAGCTCAGGCCCATGAAGGGCCCAGCTGGGTGTCTTCTGAGTTTGTGTAGAGGACGTCCTGGCTGGCTGTGAAGTCTTCAAGGAGACCCCTTGGCTTGGACCAGTGCAGCCCTGTAACCGTTCTGCAGCTGGCTCTGGGCACCCTGCAAAGTGTTTCCATGGCTAGTCTGACAAGTCCTTTGCTGTAAGGCCCCCTCTTCCTACGTGCACAGCATAGCTCGCCTCTAAAGTCTGAAGCCAAGGTTTCCTCCTGGGGCCTCAGCTGACAATCCTGGGCGGGAGCTCCCCTTGGCTGCCCCCTCCCAGTTGGGGTGCTCAGCCCACAGGGAGGAGAAGGGGGGGTTGGCTTTTTATCAGTCTGCAGCTTTCCTTTAAGTCACCAAGCGCCTCCAACATTCAAAGCAGCATGCCTGCCACACATAAAAGAGATTCTAATCACTACACCTAATTAGAGGAAAGAGTACATTGCGGAGAAAAAAATTAAGCAGCGTAAATATAATAAAAGGCAGTAATTAACGGTCCCACAAGACGGATGCTGTGTTGACAGCTGAAGGATGTAGAGAGGGGATGGAATGGATCCACTTCCCCACCAAAAAGAGCTGTGGCTGCCCTGGTGGGAATCGGTGTGAAGTGAGATCCCCAGGTACGGGGCCGGATTTACTCCATGTATAAATCTACAGCAAAGAACCAGCTCAGATCCTCCCAGGATGAGTCACAAAATGATATCCTGGGGGTTACAAGAGTCTGACTCCTAAATTTCCTTCTTGGATTTAGTGCAGCTGATTTCACTTTATGGTGGTGTTTGTAATTTTTTTAATACAAGCTGTGAAGCACCCTTCCTTCTAAATCACAGATCAGCCCTACAGCCTTACCTTCCTGCTAGAGGAAGAAAGCTGAAGATTGCTGAAATGCGTCATGTTAAGACACCCCCAGATCTCCCCTTGAGTAGAGTGCAAAACCCACTTAGCCAGGATTCCAGGTCTGGAGGCTGCTCTAGTGGGGTGGAGAATGATCCTAATCTGACACCTTCAAGGAGAGGGCTAGGAGACCTTGGCCTCTCTGGTGTTGCCAGGATAGGGCCTGCTTGGGTATGGGTGTGGTCTGGGACGCAGGTATAGGAACTATAGAGTGAGAGGCTTTGCAGGTAGCATGCACAGCCTCCAGCATTGCCCACAGCTGCCTGGCCTGCTTGCTTGTAAATGAAACACATACATATACATACACACACACACACACACACACACACATACAGCCTCCAGCACTGCCCACTGCTGCCTGGCCTGCTTGCTTGTATATGAAACATATCCACACACATACACAGATGTGCACACACACACATGCACACAGACACATACACGGCCTCCAGCACTGCTCACTGCAGCCCGGTCTGCTCGCTCGTATATGAAACATACATACACACACAGAGGTGCACGCACAGACACATGCACACACACATTCACACAGACACACACACCGCTAGCCTCTAGCACTGCCCACTGCTGCCCAGCCTGCTTGTTTGTATATGAAACATATACATACACATACACAGATGTGCACACACACACACGGCCTCCAGCACGGGGCCACTCAGTACCTTCCTTGCACTCCAGGGCCACACGGGACTCCAGGTTGTCCATCTGCATCTGCAGCCGCTTCAGTGTGAGGTCACTTTCACGGGACTTGCGTTTATAGGCGATGAGCACGGCCACGATGAAGATGATGAGGAGGCCACCAGCCACCGCGATGCTGACGATGGCGGGCAGGCTGAGTGGGCTGTCCGGGGCGATGTACACCATCCCTGGGGAGTACTCCATGCCACCAACACGGGCCTGGGGGCACACCGGGCAAGAGGGAGCTGGGTGTGGGGACACAGCAGCTTTGGCAACAGTCCCAAGTCACCCAGGAACTGGTGACCAGGGCAGGATGAGGGAAAGGAGACCAATCACTGGTGTCAAAATAGACAAGAGGGCATGGGGGGCTGGGAGCAGGGACAGATGCAGCTTAATAGAGCTCACCACCAACTGGAAACACCTCACCTCCTCTTATTCAGGAGTGAGTTTTGTCATCTTCATAAGAAAACAGCACACAACTGGGACCTAAACACAGTCTGCCACCAATGACTAGATCCCCTAAGATTTATGCCCATTCTAAGGGTGCACAATGGAAGCACAGAACATGATATTAAGATATTACAGACTTCCGTGGGCCAGCAACGGCCTTCTCCTTGAAGACTTTCTTGTTTGTTGCAGATGATTTAGCAACTATTTAATGCTGTTTTGCATTTTCCTTATTGTTGCACCAGCCAGCATGGAAAGAATGACAATACAGAAGAGAGAAGCTCAAAAGCGGACACGAAGAAAGAACTTGGGGTGGGTGGTAGCTAGAGGAAAAGTTATTTGTGGGCCAGAATCCCCTCTTGGAAAGCCCTGGTGGCCTGAGACAGAGCTGGGCCGCTCACACCCACATCCCTAGTGCCCACTCCATCCGGGATGGGGTTCTCCCAGTCTCACCATCACTTTGTGCCTGCCGATGAGGTTGGGGGACTCGCAGAGCAGCTGGACATCTGATACGGTCACGGTGCATGGCTTCTCCCCAACCAGCACAGTGTAGTTCAGCTTCACATTGCCCCCAGCCACAGGCGGGATCAGGTTCTTGCCCTGTACAGATGGGAAAGCCCCAGTTCCCATCCCAGAGTGAGGACCACAGCTACCAGCTGGCTCTCACGTCCTCCCACCTGGAGGTCCTATCCTGCTGGTGAGCTGGTGAAGAAGCCACCTTTGGTAATAACTGCAAAAAATATTCGTGGCACGACTACTACCATTGCCTCTTCCTCCCAGTGGGTAATCAGTTATCAAAGTACTCCTTTCAGCTTATCCCAAATGCAGCCTCAGAATCCTTCTCAATGCAGAGTTGGAGTCAGTCACTACCGATTGATTCAAGTTGTCATGAGCTTTAATTAACTTGTGACCCATGTTCCAAAGGAGGCCCTATGCTGTAGTTCGCACAAGGCTGCCTCGGAGGAAGCAGTGAGACTGACCTACCAGTACTTGGACTTTCAGGACAATAAAAGCTTGAGAGTCAAATAGCCAAGGTGCATCTGCCTTCCCTGGATAGAACCGGCCCATAAAGAGAGTTTTCTTCCCAGTACAAACTCAGAGAGAACATTTATCACACTCTGGGCTACACTGCAACCTCTGCAAGAGATGCCGGTTGAAAAACGTGACTGGAGTCTGCGACTTGAACATCCCCTTCCATGCAGCAGCCCCTCCTTTCCCCACCCCCACCTCCTACCACCCTCACTCCACCTTTAGGATGATGGGCGTGCCAGGCTTGAGCTCCAGGATTCCTGAGGGACCAAAGGCCTCAAACACTGGGTTGGGATAGTAGGTGAAGTTGGTCTTGTTGAGGATGAGCAGAGACTGGACGTTGTCCAGGATGAAGCCAAACTCCTCGGGCCTCTCGGTCAGGTCTGACTGGTGGTCAGGACCCAAAGCGAGGGCGGGTGCCTGGCAGGTCATCTCAGTAGCGTTCAGAACCTCACAGATCTGTGGGAGGAGCCACAGGGCGGAGCCTATGCAATATCTCCACATACCCACAGCCCCAGTACATGTACCAGGCCTCCCTGGATGTCACCGGATAGCATGGGGTTGACAAGAGGATTAGAGATGAGTCAGGACCACACAATTGGGCCCTCAAGGAATAGGCTCTATAGCTTGCACCCAGCTCCGGTTTTGCCTGTAGTGGGTGTGGCAATGGCTAGGGTTGGAAGAATGAAAGAGTAAAGGTATAAAACCCTGGGAACCCCAAAAGTAATTGCTCCTCCATGCCTGTACCCCAAGAAGTAAAAATGCCCTTACGTCTTCTCCCCCATCCCACTATCCGAGTATTCAAGGGTGTCACAGGCTGTGGGTTATCAGTGTATGGGCAGGGAATCGCCTCAGTACTTGGGAAGACCCACACGTTCGTGTGGGTAACCTCCATGAACCCCATCAGCCTTGCACTCACATTGATGTGCTCCTTCCCTCCATGCTTGGCACGGATCTGGGGGTTCTGTATGAGGTCCAGGTGGGTCCCCCATACGGCGATGGGTGTGTTTCCACTGAGCAGGAAGAAAGAAGGAGGCGTGTAAATCATAAGTTCAGGAAGAGCAATGGCACTCTACAATGATGACTGACTGAGCTACAACAATAAGGACAGTGACAACCAGGCAGCAGGGTAATGTTCCTGGGGACAAGGATGACAAGCTGACTGCATAGTAATGACGACGAGCATCTCGGCAGCCAAGGGGAGGACGGTAATGACCAGATGTCTGTGGCCATCCTTTGCTGAGTCTGTTGGGAGCATGGACCCCTGTGGAGGCCCAGTCAACAGCACAGCCCCCTTAGCTCTCCAAGACCTTTTGGTTTGTGCCAGCTGCTTCTCTGCAACCCCTTGGTGTCTCTTCCTCCATCCTTCCCTTGGTCCTTGCTAATCTTGGGATTTTTTAGACATTAGCTTTGGCCTCATGAAAGCCTCGCTCCAGATTGTCCCCACCACATCCTCCAGGCGCTGAGCACAGTCTGTTCCCCCAGGGCAATCATTTTACAAGTTTCCACGTTGGAGGCTTTGATCAGGCTGAGATCTGGGAAAGGCAGAGGGTCCATGAATGCAAATGTGAATGCAAGTGAGAAACGCTCTGGGACTCGGGTCTCCTGCACCCTGGGGTGGCACAGGACCGCTGACAGGGAGGACACAGGACTGCTGACAGGGAGGGCTTAGGAGCTTCATCTTGTGTCGCTTTTCAAAAGAAACCTGGACATCAGTGCCCATCCTTAGGGCAGCTGAGAAGTGGGCATAAAGTGGTGGGCAGTACTGTAGTGGACTGTGTCCTCCGGGGGGCTACTCAAAGAAAAATGAGAAATAGCCTGATCCCCAATCAAAGGAGCATCTTCGAGAAGAATCCTGCTATCTAAAACAGGCTTTAGCAAGTTAATTAGCTATAAGTTGATGAGTAAAGAATCCTTGACACACACACCCACATTCATTTCCACCCATCTATCCATCTGCCTGTCTTCATATTGCCAGTTGCTTCCCCCTCTCTCCTTGCTCGCATGCGCACACACACACATGTGTGTGCACACACAGAGGAAGATTCCTGTGAAACTCAGAGAGGCTCCTGCACATGCGACAGTGCTGTAGATGACCTTCTGGTGTCTAGCCATCTTCCCAATCACCAATTCAACACACATTTATCAAACGCCCACCATCACTGTTCACAAGTAACCCAGGCGGCTCATAAGAGCAGAGCCTCACCCCATCCTCAGACTTGATTAACTTAAAGAAAAGCCCTGGAGCTGGCTGGCAGACCCAGAACATGTCTGTCTCCATCCTCCCTCCTAGTGGGAGCATGATGCAGGAACGGCAGCTGAGTGCCAGGAAGGGTGACACCTCTATTTCTATGAGGATGACACAAAGAAGAACTGAATTATACCAGGCTGTGAATTTCGCAGAGTTGCAAAGTTTGTTGACTAAGTCACAAAGGGCTGCATCAACTTCCTGGGGCCAAATCCTGGTATGGCTTTCTACAGACGACCTTCCCCTCTGTGCCTTCTGGTCTTCATCTGCCTTAAGGTCATGGCTAAAGCTCAGAAGGTTTGGGCCTTATAAAGTAACTGCTGAGGACGGCCAAATCTCATCTCAGCAGGCAAAGGCTGTCTTTCCTTTGGGCTTAAGGCAGGGGGTGGCAAGCTCTTTCTGTAAAGGACCAGATAGTAAATATTGTAGGCTTTACAGGCCATATGGTCCCTGTCGCAGTTACTCAACTCTGCTGTTATAGTGAGAAAGCAGCTATAGACAATACATGTACGAATGAGCATGGCTGTGCGCCAATAAAACTTTATTTACAAAAGCAGGTGGCTAGCCAGATTCAGCCCACAGACTGGAGTTTGCCGATCCCTGGATTATAAAAAGATTGTTCCCTGGACTGGACACATCCCTGCTCTCTGCCTCAGCCCGGGGAGACCACTTCTACATGTACTTCCTGCTCACTCCCCCAGCCCCACGCCCCTGAGAACTGAAGCAGACATTGAGAGGCCTGGACCCAGGAGGGGGCAGGGGGAGGGGGCGGAGCCAGGCACTGCCCTGTGCATGTGCATCTCACTTCAGTCTCTCAGCTGCCTATGCGAGAGTGGACAGATGAGGGACTCTGGCCCCAGGGAGGTGAGATAACTGTTAAGGTCACCTGGCTGGTAAGCAGTGGAGCTGGGCTGAGACCCTTCCCACGCTGCCCCTGTTACAGTGATTTCCCAGTGATCTCTGTGAGCCTTGCGTAGGGTGCCCTCTGTAGCATCTTTTCATTCCCATGTGCTATCCAGGGTCTGGAAAGGCAGACTTATGCCATGTGCCTACCCCTTCACCCCTGATGGGAGACATACTACTCCAGGGACCCTAGAGATCCTGGGATTTCAAAATCCCCGGATGAATCACTGAATAGGCAGAGGCCCAGGAAGAATACCAATTTGCCCAAGGTAAATGAAGGTCCCCAAGTCCCTGCCCCAGGGCCTTTCTATACCAACATTCCAATGCCTGGTCCCCTCCCTCTGAGACAGGTGTTCAGTGCATCTGGCTGGGCACTGGGAAAAAGCAGGGAACAAGACCTAAACTCTGCCCTTGAGGAGGTTACAGCAGAGGGGAGGAGAAATGTAAGCAGGCAGCCAGGAGCAGAGAGGATGGGTATCTGGATGGGGCCTCCAGGCTCAGGACACAGCTTCCCCCACGTAAGCTGACTACAAGGAGTAGTCAGGCCTGATCTAACTCCTTCTTCCACACCCCTCAGCCTGAAGGTGGGACCAGGATTAGCACCTATGTCTACCAGAAGTGAGAAGAGTAGCCTGGCACCCCCGGCAGTCACTGCAGCATGGGGACATGGCCTCTAACACAGTTCCTGTCCCAGAACTGGGGAAGGTGGGTTCTTGCTGTTATAGGAGCTTGGCCTCCAGGCTGGGTTTGGCACAGAGGTGCTCTCAGTGGAAGGAGGGAACCACAGTAGGAAGGTCTGATTTGGGGGTACTTGGAACCAATTCCAGTTTATCAGTTCCCCAAGTAGAACTGGGCCCCCAGAACTCTCCTTGGCTCTCGAGAGTCAGGGAAGGGAAACAGAGGTCCAGGAGCATTAAGGTCTACTTGGGCCAGCTCCTACCTGACGATGCTCCATTCTGGTTCAATCCGCACGATGGTGGGGTCTTCCACATACTGAAAGACCAGGTCCTGGTGGATCTTGGCCCTGTCCACCTGCACCGACACCTTCATCTCTAGCACCTCATCGGAGGATGTGGTGTTGCAGACAATGTAGGATGGAGATCGCCTGGAGGGCAGGAAGACACAGCATTGGGTGCCTAGTGTTGAGGAGGACAGAGGTCCTGAGTTAGGGCCCTCCCACACTGCTCCCTGCATGTCAGGATGCTCAGAGGCCATGGGTGGGTGCTCTCAGATAGAAAGCTGGAGACCCAGTGACAAAGACTCTCTCCTCGGCCAAACTTTAGACAGGTTCCTCTGAGCCCTCTTTTCAACCGGGCCTCATCCCTGGGTCTGTCTTTGGCCTGTCTAGCCTCGATTTTTTAGCAAGAATCTGGCTAAGTCTGTTTGGGAGAATCCTCCCGTACTTGATATCTGATCACCCTGGCCTGCCTTCAGCAAGAATCATGTTAAGTTGGTTTAGCAGGAGTCCACCTACCTTGATGTTTCCTCTTAGTGATTTTTCATTCACTGAGCCCCTTATTCTGCTCATTGGCTACAAACCCCCTGCTGTCTTTGTAGTATTTGGAGTTGAGCTCCATCTGTTTCCCCTGTTGCAGTAGTCTTGACATCAATTGCAATCGTCCTAAGTCTTTCTTGCCATTTTAACAAGTGTCAGAATAATTGTTTCTTTAACACTACTGATGCCAGGCCTGGCCGGGTCTGACTTGGGAATTGTCATAACCCTCAGCATAGCCTTCTCAGGGAAAATCCTCTCTCTAGAGAATCTTAGGCCAGCTGAAGGAGCATCTCCAGCCACATTGCCTAGTGTCCTTCACTGAATGTACCTCCTGCCTTGCTCCTATCCCCTAGGCTCCAGCTCACGGCAGGTGTGCCCTTCTGGGACTCCACAGTGGGACCAGGGGAGGCAAGGTCACCTGGCCTTGTAGGCTCAACCTCAGCCACTGGGTTGCTGTGCCTATCATCTCTGAGAAGGTCCAGCTGGCTCTGCAGCTCCCAGAGTGCATCTGGCCCTGGTGAATGGGCTTTAGTTGTAGATTTCAAATTGCATTCTGGGGTATCCTAGGGTTCTGCAGAGTGGGTGCTATGGGGTCACCAGGGCTAACTGATGGGCCATGAAGCATATGGGGCCCATCCAGGGAAGGGAGGGCAGACAGGTCTCCATACTGAGCCCAAATTCTCTCCCAAAGAGCATGTCCACTTTGTTAGGCAGGAGGAGTACTTCTAAGCCATAAGGTGATTGAAATCACCTTTGCAAAAAGTATGGCAGTGAGGAAAGTCTGACGTAGAAAAATTATCACGGTGCATGTCTGACCTAACGGACCCTATCTTGCTTTTCACCTCCAAGCTACCCTTGTCCATTCCTGGGCACAGACCAAGCTAACTATAGGAGGAATTTAGTTTATAGTTTAACTTTGTAACAAAGATGATAACAGCCTTTTCCTTAAACAAACCCCCTCTTTGCCTGGGGACCAGAGAGCCCACCTTTGAAAAACTAATAAATTAGCCACAAGATCAAAAATGATGACTCAGGAGGCACATAAGCAACCAGAGGCCACAAGATTCCAGATGTTCCCAATCGCCTCTATGGATAACATCACTATTGTAAAACTTCAGATCACTGTTGGAGGTACTTTTCAGATCCTGAATTCTGATTGACAAGCTGGTACCACCCAGACCAGTAATGTGGCTCAACTAGTTCTGCCATCCCACCCAGGAACTGAAGACAGCAAGAAAATCCTGGTTCAACTTTATACAATTTCATCTCCAACCCAACCAATCAGCATTCCCCACTCCCTAACCCCCTGCCTGCCAAATTATCTTTTAAAAAATCCTAGTCTCCAAATTTCCAGGGAGGCTGATTTGAATCATACAACTCCTGTCTCCCATTTAGCTGGCTCTGTATCGATTAAATTCTTTCTCTATTGCAATAATGCTGTCTCAGGAAATTGGCTCTATCTGTGCAGCTGGCAAGAAGAAACTGTCAGGTGGTTACACCCTCCCAACTCTCTGCAATAAAAATGAAACTACCCTGAAGTGATCTACCTGTCTAACCTTTCCCCCTCTGGTGCTGCAGAAAGGGGCCCTCTGAGTTACCTGTGGAAGAGACAGGGCTGCTTCCCGAACATCACCACCACGTTGCTTCCGGCATTCAGGTTGGTGCCTGTGATGGTCACTTGGGTCCCCCCGGACATGGGCCCCCGGCTGGGCTTCAGATCTGAGAGAGTCAGTGTCTGTGTAGAAAGGATGTGGCCTGAGACACAACTGGGAAGGGGTGGAGGAGGCTTCTGGGCAGGCATGAGGCAGCACCCCACTCCCCCAAGCTGCTTTCTGGAATCTTTGGTAATAGCGGTCTCCCAGAGGACCGGGACAGTTTTCTTAAGCTTGTATGGATAGGTAATGCTCCAGACCCTGAGAGTTTGCATACCTACCTTAGTACTAGTAATACTAATAGTTGCCATGTACTTATTTTTTAAGTGTCAGATTATATGTCTTCATAATTATACATGTATGTGTATATAGGGATATATACACATACATATATAATTTATATCTTATAATATGTATATGTATACACATTATATGTATATCCCTATACACATACATATATAATGTAATCACCAATCAATTCTATAAAGTAGGCATTATTATTTTACAGAAGAGATTTAGAGATGTTAACTTAGTTTTCTAAGGTCACAGAGCTAAAAAATGGCATAACTGAGATCTGACCACAGATCTCCAGTTCTCAACCCATTTCCAACCTACAGCTCTGTTCTTGGGTGGTAAACTGTCTCTCCCACAGGTCTCTACAAAGAGCTGCCCAAAGCACCCAGTGGCAGAGCAATGGGAAGTGAGAGCCCCAGGGAAACTGAGAGAGAGAAGCAGAAAACAGTCAGTTGCTTTCAAGGGCTGCCCCCAGCCCTCTGCCAGAATGGGACCAGTGAGGAGTCCGGGTTGGGGGCAGGGCAGAAAAAAGCTCTTGACAGCTGGGGATTTGGAGTTGCAGTTTGTTCTTTCATTAGCATTTTAATGGAAAAACTTTCCTCAGTCCCAGGTGAGAAGTCTGTATCTGCATTTAAATGAAGATTTCTCTCCCTTCCCCAGCTACCTCCTCCTTAAAGAATTCAGCACCAAAAGTCAACCCTCTCAGTTCCTCAGAGCAGGCTGACAACCTCCCCTTGGAGATGCTTTGATAGGGAAGCTCTGGAGCTTCCCTATCACCTGGCACACACGCCTCCAGGTCCAGGATCAGGGCACGCAGGTGGGGAGACACACAGACCACAGTTCCTGACCTGCCTCACCAGGTCCCAGCACCCTGTCTCTGGATCCCAGGTCTAGCATCCCTGTAACATGGGCCAAGCCAAGGAATAGCTTATCATTTTGGCTCAACTGGAGGCCAGGAAGAGGGTGGGGTGAGGCTGCAGAAAGAGCCCTCCTTTCTCAGCTCTGCCTGTATGACTCTGGACAAGACATTTCACCTCTCTCGTCAACAAAATCAGGGGGCTGAGCCAAAAAGTGGTGATCTCCAAGGCTCCTGGCAGTTTTCTTGTTCTGTAACTTGCAGTACCTCTTCAAATGGTACTTGTGCCCCACCTTAAAGGAACCCCACCAACCTTCCCAGAGAGGAAAGGAGAGAGAGAGAGAGAGAGAGAGAGAGAGAGAGAGAGAGAGATTGATTGATTGTACACACAGGCTTCAATGCAGAGATGGTCCTAGAGAGACAGAGTTGAACTCAGGGAAGTTAAAATAGATGGGGATTGGTACTCCCTGGCAGCCTATGGGTGAGGGTTCTTAGAAGGGGTAGAAGTCAGTAATTCCTGCAGGTGTTGCTGGGGCACTATCAAGGGGCTCACTGGTGGGGACAGGATGTTATGGATACATGTTTTAGAGTTGTGAGAAGCTATTAATTATTCAAGCCATGCTTCATAAATATTTCACGGTGAGTTTGCATGGTAAATCAAATTCTGCATTATTTGCCACCTCCTTCACTTGGAATGGAGGTGGAGGGAAGGGGGAAAGCATTCCCTGCATGGAGACCTTTAGGAACAGCTAGTGACAGCCCAGAGTGCTAATCTGGGGCCCCTTGGCCTTGGCATTTGGTTTTTGGTGAATAAACCCACACATTGGAGTCTGGCCTGATTGTCGGAGAGGACAAGTCTTCCCTCTAGCCTTGGTACTAAAAAGGGTCTCTCCAACATGCCCCAAGTCCTGGGAAAAGAGCTTCCTGGCTGTCTCAGAACTCCAGGGGAGCTAGAGGCTTCTGTGTAGGGCCCAAAGAGTACACCTGTAAGCTTCCTGGTAGATGAGAAGGTCATGAGGGCTCGGAGACTCTGGAAAGTGTGATAGACAGGGTTCTGTCCCTTCTCAACCCCTGCGGAGGCTCATGGGGACCTCTGTCCCTCACTCCCACCTGGAATCCCTAGAAACTCTGTGCGAGGAATGGGGGTGGGCCTCAATGACACAACCCTTAAATGCAAGGGGCCAGAGAAAGAGACTAAGGTCCCTAGCACTATTTCTCCTCCCTAAAAGTCTTCCCAAGTGAACATGTGGCACCAGAGCCATTCCTCAAAGATGTCCCTTAAGTAGAAAAGTGACACAAATCTTTGAGCTGCAGGGACCCACCAGACAAATGCATATTTGCCTGTGGCAACCTCTGTCATCTGTCCTGACCTGCCTCTGCTTCAGCCTCTCCTCCTCACCACCCACCCTCTTCCCTCTCCCTCCTGTTCCCATCTTTTGGTATACTACTTTGTCAGACCTTATGCTGGGAACAGCCTCCCACCACTTCAGATCCACATGGAAAATTATATTCTATTTGTATTATACAAATCCCATCTTTCCCTCCAGCTTCTTCTAGGAAACCTCCCTTAATGCCCTAAATTCAATCACACCCCTCTACAGGGTAGGAACAATCACACAGGCAAGACTGGACCCTTCCTGAGGGCAGATGGGACTTTCCAATGTGTAGCACACAGGCTTATTATAAGAATAAAAGCAGAGAGCTAAGTGCATTGGCACACAGGAGCCACACAGGAAACGCCCTTTCTCCTAGGTCAGGGGGCCTCAGCCCAGCTTGCATCTCAGAATTACCCAGGATCCATAGCATTGGGTTTAATTAGTCCTGGCAGGAGGCAGGGAGAGGTCCAGGGCATTTTGTTTAATGCCCGTCCCGCCCCAGGAGACTCTCCTGTGTTGGGAGGTTTAGCGCTGCCTATGCACTGTGGGGCTCCCAAAGAAAGGAGGGTCCTGGGCTGATCTTTGATGGAGCCTCAGCAGTAGGGGCCTGGCTGGAAATGCAGAGCAGAGGCAGAGAGTCTTAAAGGAAGCATCAGCTTAATGAGGCGGAGGTGACTCTCGCCCTGTCGACTGTGTCCTCCAGGGTCCCTGCCAAGGAACCCTGCTCTGGGCAGGTGGCTGGCCAAGGCAAGTGGCTCCCAAGACAGATTGGTTTGATAAGAGGAGCAGGGCGCAAAGAGGACCCCCTGAGTGGTGTGATGCAGGCAGATGTCTGGAGTCCCAGGAAGTGGGGTGGGGCGCAGGGCCTGTGGGTATCCACAGCTCAGGACTGTGCATTCACAGACCGAGGATAGGGTCCCAAGCACAGCTTTGACGAATAAGGGGGATACGGCTCATGCAACCAGGAGAAGGAGACAGAGAAGGTAAGGTGGCAAGCAATGCAAAGGCTGGCAAAATAGGATTGAATGGGGAAGCAGACAGAGGAGCCCGGACAATGTCTTACAGGGAGGGGAGCCTTGGCTCTTCTTGAGGTGGAAGCTGATATGATGGTAGATGGATTACAACAGAGAAAAGCAAGGGAAGGATTTAAGGAGGCTATTGTTATGGCAAAGAGAATGGGAAAAGGAAGACTCCAGGACATAGTGATGGATTGATGTCAGGAATGAAGGCATGCTGAGCCACAGTCCAGCAGGATTGCAGGCCTAGGGGATGGACCACTGATGGGAATGGGCAAGAGAGGAGGATGCACTGTTTATGGGAGCTGACAGCCTGGGTAGGCCACATGGAGATATGGCTGGATAGCCAGGTGGTGGTGGCCTTGATTGAGCCACAGGAGTGAGGGGCCTGACTGGGGATGCAGGGCAGAGGCAGCTAAGGTTCAAAAGAAGCCATCAGCTTAATAAGTTGGAGGTGGCTCTAGCCCTGTCCACTTTATCATTCAGGATCACTGCCAAGAACCTCAGGATGGAAAGCTGCTCTGGGCAGTGGCTGGCCAAGGAAGTCCAGTGTTTGCTTTGGCCATGCAGCAGTTTCCTCCCATTTTACTTTGGCTGCCAGGAATTTTCAAAGCCAGATTTCTTGCCCAATTTTAGCAAATACCTGGTGAATGTCATCCCTCCTCTCTCCATCTCTCTCTCTCTCCCTCCCTCTCTGTCTCTATGTCTATATCATATACTATATATATATATACACACACACATGCATACTTTATATACAAATATATATGTACATTTCTCATTAGTTGTCTTAATGTCTACTGGGTTCCCCTTGGAAATTCCGTCATATGCTTTCAGAAGAAGGTGGTGGGTACAAATCCTAAACAAATAAGGAAAATGACTCTTCCATGAACCCCATTATATGCGCATGTTATACTCATTTTATGAATTCCCATGTGCATTCAGTGACAGCCAACTGCATCCAGGGGGTGTTTGGCCCTCGGAGAGCAGAGGTGGAGCAGATGCAGCTGCAGTCCCAGTCACGGTGCCGCACTACACTCAAGTTTCTCTAAGATTTGGCCCTGACCACGTTCAAGTCTGTGTCAAGTACTGGAGCTCAGTTGCTTTCACCTCCCCTTCTAGACTGTGGGCCTCCTGAGGGAGGTGCTGTGTTGGAACTTATTCCTCATCCTAACCCCCACAGCCAGAACCATCAAGTCATAAAATCCAACTCAATTAAACAAGCACTCATTACATAATCTAGTGAGAGGCATTGTGTAAGGCGATCAATGGCTGTCAGTTGAAGAAGAAAGGAGGAGGAGGAAGGAAGATGAGATAAGGAGGGAGGAAGGAAGGATGGAAGCAAAGAAAGGAGGAAGAAAGGAAGGGAGGGAGAAAGGGATCAAGGAAGGAAGGAAGGAAGGGAGAGAGGAAGGAAGGAGAGAGAGAGGGAGGCAATGGGGGGAAAAGGAGGAAAGAGGGAGAGAGAGAGGAAGGAGAATGAATGCCAAATTCCCCATGACATATTTCAGGGCATTTGATGGCCAGGCATAAAATCCATCACTTCAGGCTTCCAGCTTCCAAAAGCAGCTCAGAATCATGAGGAAATTATACCACTACAGCTGTCATTAATCTGAGAGGTTTAGTTTTTAAAATGATGGGTGTGTGCGGCAGGGAGTGTGTTCATGTCTCCACCATCTCCATAATCACAAGGCTGAGAGATTCCAAAAGCCTCTGTCCCATAGAACTACTTGTCAGCCAGCCTTTGATGAGAGGTTCCAGGCAGGAAGGAATTTAAGGACTGGGGAGAGATCCTCAGAGAGGCCATGGAATGGGGAAGGGGGTGCTAGGGTGAGAGAGGTGAGGGCAATGGTGTGGGTAGGGGGCAATGGTGTGGTTAGAGGGAAATGCATTGGGGATGCAGGTGAGTGGTGGGCAGGGGTTAATGAGGTCATCAAATAGGGATAATGGTGGGTGGGTGCTATGGTTTGAATGCATCTTCCAAAGTCATGTCCTGAAAGCTTAAACCCCAATTAAACAGTGTTGAGATGTTGGACTTTTAAGAGGTGATTAGTTCACAAGGGCTCTGCCCTCATGAATGGATTAATGTTACTATCACAGGAACATGCTTATTATCAAAGAGGGAGTTTGTTATGAAAGGGAGTTCTACCCTCTCCGCTCATGCTCTCTTGCATGTAGTCTCCTGACTTTTCACTTTCTGCCACGAGGTGACGCAGCAAGAAGGCACTTGCCAGATGCAGCCCCTAGATCTTGGACTTCTCAGCCTCCAGAACAAGCAATCAAATAAATGACTCGTCTCTATCAATTACCCAGTCCCAGACATTCTTCTATAGCAGCAGTAAACAGACTAAGACATTGGGGTGAGGGAGAAGTGTGAGGGCGATAGGATGGTACAATGGGCCATGAGTGTGCAGGAACGGGTCAGAAAATGGAAGCAATGGTGGCAACCACAGAAATAATAAAACAAATGATACTAGAAGTCATAAATACATTGATGTAATTTTCCACAAGATCATGGGGTTGATACTATTATTATCCTCATTTTATAAATGAAGAAACTGAGGCAAAAACAAAGTGTTGAGCAATTTGCCCACATTCACCCAGTTAGTAAGTGGAAGAGCCAGGGATCAAATCCCAGGAGTTGCCTTGTGATGTCCAAGCTCTTGCCTACCTACTGTGTCACACTGCCATGTACCCATCTGGGGACTCTGGGCCCTGAGAGCTAAAGCAACTTACCTGAAACCACACAGCCAGGCACAGCAAAGTCTGGATTTGAATCCAGGTCTTCCAGACTTCAAAGGCTGTGCTCTCACTCACTATCAGACAGGATTCTCATGAACTGAAGGAGGTTGCAGGGCAGGCCGTTGCCCTGGGTTTGCCCACAGAGCTCTAGAGGGGCCCAGCAATCATGGTAATGAGCTCTGTGGCCTTTACCCAGCCAGATCACTGCTGGTCAAGACTCACCATGAAGTAATAGAGCTGCGAGGACCGGGCCATGAATTCAGGCCGACACACAGCCACGCAGATCTCCACGAAGCCTGCGTGCTGGCTGGGCTTGGCCTCCCCCATCTCACACACGATCCTGCGGGGAGGATAGGAGAAATTCCACGGGTCATAGGACTTCCAGCCAAGACCCTGCACCCCACAGCATCTACCCAGGTCCCTTTCTCCACAGTAGGATCTCAGGGATGGCCAGGTAGGGGAGGAAGGAGAAGATATCCTAATTCCTCCTAGCAGGGTCTTCTCCTTAATTGTCAGGCAGTGAGGAAACTTGACCTATGGGATCTCCTTTGAGCGAGCCTAGAAGAGGGTCCCTTTGTTATGACTCTAGATGTTCAGTCTCTAATTCATGATTATCTACTCAGTTGTCAACTAGACTGGCGGATATGTTCTAGTCAAAACCCTTGGGGAATAGGACTGGCAGAGTCCAGAGAGGTAAAGTGACTTACCCAAGGGCTGCAGCAAGTCAAACCAGAACTTGGAGCGACCTAAGGTTTTCTGGTCCCCACCTGGGAGCTTGGGGCTGCTTCAGTGAAGTGCTTTTGCTTCCTAGCCAGCCCCAGCTTCCAGGCCAGGTGAGGGTATAATTGAGTGAGTGTGTATGTGTGTGTGTATGCGTGTGTGAACTTTTTCCTTTCTAAAAATTTTTATTGCTTTGATTACAAAATTTGTTTATACCTTTTTAAAAATAATCCAACAGTCAAACAGTAGAGAGTATGGCAGTAAAAAGTGAGTGCCTCATTCTTCTTAAAACTTAAAACTATATATATACTTAAAACTTAAGTGTGTGTGTGTATATATATATCTTTGCAGACATAATATATAAATATATATGTGTACATATATCTATGTATATATGTATATGTATTCTTCATTTTACAAATGAAGAAACTGGGGCAAAGGAAAGTTAGGCAACTTGCCCAATATATATCTTTACATACACATACACACATATACATACACACATATGTATATTTATATTTGTATTTCATATGCAGGCACACATAAGCATAAATGTGTTTTTACATATATATACAATTATACTTATAAACATACATATGTGAGGAAAGATATATATTTTTTTAAATAAAAGCAAAACATAACATATCCACTGCTATAAACACTTCCGTTTTTGCTCAGCACAATAGCGTGGACCTTCCTTCCCATCTCTATAGACACAGCTTGACATTTTTCTTTTCAGCAGCCTCACAGTGTCTCCTCTGATGATTGCACTATCATTTACACAACTATCTTCCTATTGAACGTTTAGTTGTCCTGATTTTTCTGCTACTCCAAATTATTCTGCAAAATGAACCAACTGACACACACATCCTTAGGCACTGTATAGTAGGATAGATTTCTAAGGAGGGAAACTGTTGGGTCAGTTTGCGTATTTAATATTTGGTAGGTAGAGCCAAATAACGTTCTAAGAAGTCTGGACCAGGCACTTCTATTGATGGTCTGCTCTTTCGCCAACACCAGATATGAACAATCCAATGAGGGGGAATCTCATTTTAATTTTTATTTCACAAATTATGAGTGAGGTTTCATATTTTTTCACATGGGTGTGTTTTTAAAATCTCATATGGCCTTTCCTTTGACTTTTCTGGTGAAGCCCTCTTTCTTGCTGATAGATTGTCTGAATTAGGAGTATTAACTTTTGTCTGTTATAAATATTGCAGTGATTTTCTCCTTGCTTGTCATCTTTCAACTGTGGTTCCAATGTCTTTTGCCACACTAAAGTTTAAAAGCACCTGTGTGGTTAAATTGGTTGTTCTTTACTTTGTGGCTTCTATGTTTTATGTTTCTCTTAGAAACGACTTTTGAGTAAGGTTCCAGAACAAGTAATACCTTGCTATCCAGATCACATAATTAATGCATGTTTGGTGTTTAAAAAAAATAGAAAGTACATAAAAGCACTTGTCATACTTACATACCCCCCAGTTGTACCATTCAGAATGTAATTTTCCATAAGACCATGGAGTAGATGCCATTATTACCCTCATTTTATAAATGAAGAAATGGAGGCAAATAAAATGTTGAGCAACTTGCTCACATTCACCCAGTTAGTAAGTGGCAGAGCCAAGGCTCCAGTCCCAGGAATCTCCTTGTAAAGTCCAAGTTCTTGCCTATGTACCATGCCACACTGCCTTGCACCCACGTGAAACAACCAGTGTCAACGTTTTGGTGTTTCTGTGGCCAGTCTTAATTTTCTTTTACAAAACTGATTGGAAACTCTATATTAGGCTTGTAACCTGTGTTCCAAGAACCTGTGTTCTCACTTAATATACTTTGAGTATATGCCTGGTCATGATTCTTCTATAATATCAGATTTAATGGCTGTGTAGTTTTCTTTCCTGTGCTTATACAATAATTAATTGAATTGACGAATTCCCTGTTTTTACACATGTAAATCACTTCTGAGTTTTTACTATTATAAATAAGGCTGAAATAAGCATTCTTGAAAATAAATAGTTGTGTATTCTGGTTATTTAGAGAAAGTTCTGGAAGTATGATGGCTAGGCTAAAGGCCTTTGACCCACATTTCCAAATCTCCTTCCAGAAAGTTTGTCCCAATTTCCTCTTGCACCATGAGTGAAGGAGTCAGCTACTTCTCATGCCTTTCCTGCACTGGGCATTAACTTTCACAAACCACTCCCTAGTGTTTTAATTTGCATTTCATTGATTACTACTGCTGTTAAACATTTATTTTTTGTATGACTTTTGGTTCTTTTTTAATCTCATAAATTGTACGTTCAAGCTCTTTGATCATTTTGTGATCTTTGCCTTTTATTTATAAAAGCTCTTTATATATAAAGAAAAAGTACTTATTAACTGTAATAGGATGTAACCAGACTCCCAGTTTATCATTCACATTTTTATTTTGCTTGCAATGATTTTTGATGCACAAGTTTTAAGGTTTTAAGTACTCAAATCCCCTAATCTTTTTCTTTATAATTTCCTCTGTTGCAGTTATACTTTGCACAAGTTCGCCTTCTTGAAATCAAGTAAATTTCCACCTGCATTTTCTTCTAATCCTTTCACAGTTTCATTTTTTAAACGTAACTCTTTAATCCATCTGGAATTTATTTTGTTGTATAATGTGGAATAAGGATCTGGTATTGTACTTTTTCCGGGGAGTTAACCAGCATCAATTATTGAATGATCTTTCCTTGGGTGATTTGAAATATCACCTTTATTATAAACTAAATTTGTATGCATCAGCATTCTTTTTCTGGGTCCTCTATCTTACTTTACTGATCTAACTGGTATCACATTATTTTAATCATGTGGCTTCATAATACTTTTGATATCTGGATATGTAAATCCAAAGTAGGATATTTAAAATTCCTCAAATCACAATATATTAGCAGTGGCCTAGTTTGGTTTCACTCCAGAAAGGTGTCAGAAAGTTGAAAGAGCCATAGAAAGATCTTTTGGTAACTAACTGGTGATGGACCAGAGAGGTGAGTCCTACCAAGACTAGATCCTTAAACCATCTGATCTGCTATGAGCATCTTGGGGAGACCTCATGGAAATCAGGAGCAATTGAGGATGGCGGTAGTGATAGTTCAGAATCAGTAAACCTAGGCAAGACCCAGCAAGCAGAAATGGAAACTGCACTCACATACCTAGGGGAGGCCTTGTGAAGAGTCAATAATTTATGCATACAGCACAAGTGACAAGATTTCACTCCAGGAGGTGCAACAAAGACGGTATGGAATAGAGATTCTATAGTGCTGGTAAACATTTTCATAGTTGTGTTTGCTGGGCTGGAAGATGGTGCTTACTTATTTACAAGGCCATGCATGATTCACGAACCTCCTCTACTAGATGGGTTACAGGTCAGGGTCATTTGTTGAATGACCTATTCAGTGGGCCAGCAGACTTTCAAAGAGAAAAATAATCTAAGGCACCCACAGCCTGAGAGTGGGTGTGAATTTCATTGTCAGTTTCCACAGAGAGTAGCACAGGATCAGTGATGGCGGAGGGATATGAGTAGGAAGTTGGGGAGAGCAGAAGGAATTGGACTCATACTTCTCTTGCAGATTTTCATTTTGCTTTGTCTCCCTTCCTTCCGTGCAGCCTTATACCCCAAGTAGGTAACGGTCACCTTTCTCTCCCAGCTATTTCTCCTTTTCCTCTCTACACTTTCCCCAGTATGGCAGCTAGCTAGCTCAGCATGCAGGGAGTTGTGGGAGTCCACCCTCCAACTCTAGAATATTAGGGTGATTCTCCTTTTTCCCCCACAAAAAGCTCTGAGAGCACCTAGTTGCTGACCAGGACATCCCTAATACTAACCTGTCTTCCCTCCCCTGTTCCTCTTGTGCTTTGGGCAACTTCACTTACTGTTCTGCAGGGATGTAACCATCCACCAAAGGGCTGCACTCCACACCAGCCACCTTGACATGGGAGGCGATGTCGCGAAATTCCAGGCCCAGGTTCTCCCCTCGGATAGTGACCTTGGTGCCCCCTTCCCGGGGGCCTGTCACTGGGATTATCTAGAGGCAGGAAAAGAAGTAATTAGACAGACACCAAGATACTGCCATCACTCACTTGCTGATGAGGCCAGGAGAGGCTGCTGGCTCTTCTCTCGTCTGCCCCAGAGTCCCTGAGTGGCTCGAAGTCCCCAAGGGCACCCAAAGCCTGTGGTAATCAATGTATAGTAGCTTCCAGGAAAACAGTCCGTGTTTGTGTGTGTCTCTAGGAACAATATGCAAAGCCTATGGTACATCTTCCCATTTCATAGAAGAAGAGAGGAGGGGATGGAACGTGACCAGCAATGCTACTGGGTGATTCATAGAAAACTGGGATTCATGCCTTCTAGCATTTGCTTGTGTTGGTTCTACTCTCAAGGAAAATAAAAACCCCTGCTATCCACCCAGAGCCCTCTATACCTATGTGACCCTACCCACCTCTCAAGATGCTTCTCAAATGACACTGCCCCACAACCCTGTGTTCTTCCTCTCTCCACTTAAATTCCAAGATACCTTCTTTGTGACACTTACATGGCAACAATTCTTTGTGCCTGTCCCTCATCCTTCCCACTCCCAGCCCCCTCCTCCTCCAATCCTGAGTCTCTAGGAGCAGGTCTGTCTCACTCCTCCTTGTGGGATTTTCAGTAACATTACAATCTTTATGTCTTGCATTGTCACTGTAATAAAACCTACAACTGTCCAAACATCTTTCCGGAATTGTTATCAGCATTTGTCACAACTTCTTTGCCTTTGCTGTTTGGCCTGGTACCACATGGATTTAGGTTTAATTTCAATTTTATCCTCATACACAGGTCAAAGTGTATTGGCTTTCTCTCCTAAATCCATGTCAAAAACCCATGATAAAAATGTGAGGACTCAACATCCAAGTGCCTGCTTTGAGGTGGGGGCTGTATAGTTAACACAATCTCATCCTGGCGTTTCACGGGCCAGAGAAGGGCATGCTTCCATTCCTGGCACCTATGAGCACCAGCACCTGGACCTTAGCCAATGTCAGCAGGATTAGAATGGAAGGAGCCCAGAGATTCTATCTCTATTCCTTTCCAGCATATCCTACTCTCCTCAACCCCGCAGGGCCACAAGTGGGAATTCCAACCTGGGGTGAGGGTGAAAGAAGGAGGAAGCAGAAGAAACTAGGCTGTGCTCCCCTCCCCACCAAGTGGCAACTTCTCCAGGTGAGACTGCTTACCTGCCACAGTCAAGCTATCTCCCACCTCCTCCACATCCCCGTGAGGGTGCGTGTGATTGTCAGTGAGCGCATGCAGGGTGTGAGCCTGTGTATAAGTGTATTCCCATTGCAGTGGAAAAACAGCTTCCCTGGAGACATAGGCCCATTTCTATGAGAGGGATGTGGACAGACATGGGGAAGGTTGGAGGGAGAGTCTGTGTTCTTCCCAAGTGTCTGTCTGGCCAGTCCCCAAAGTGCCACTGGCACCTGACAGTGGTGTCCCCATGATATTCTAGCCCTGGCTTGTCATACTGAAAAAGGAATTTTATCTCTGGCCCACTCCTTAGTTCCCCAGGTTCCCCTAGGGCCAACGCCAGTATGGAGGCAGTAAATAGCCTCTGTCACAGGGAGATTTGTTTAATTTGCCATCTCCTCCCTGTGATTTTCTTGGACCCAGGCCAAGAAGAAAGTAAGTTCCACCGATAGCACCAGACACACTGCCATACACAGCAGCCCCCTGGGTTGGTTTCTTGTTGAGGGCTCTGGGAGGAGCCATTCCACAGAGGAGGTGTGAGGGTGAGGGGTGGGGACTGGGAAGGGAGGACATGGGCCCCAGTGTGGGGTTGGGGGTAGTGGGGAGAGGAGAGGTCCACCTGTCCTCCTATCCCAGATCATTCTGTAGGTTAATTCTGCAAATATTTCCTCCAAGTCTGAGAATAACTGTTTAGATTCCTACCATGCAAGAGACTGAAGTGGGGACTGAGAGAAACTCTTAGAGCCTGTACAGCCAGGAAGGTGGAGGATAAAGGATCTGAAGCATGGGGCACATTTTGAGGGCCACCCCAAGGGGCTGCTTTGCTGGGTGAGGCTGTTCATCCACAAAACCCATAATCTTGCTTTCACACATCCCTGGTGCACATGCAGAATTTGTGAGTGGGGGTGTGAAGTCTCACCATTGTAGTGGAGGAGAACAATTACCTAGGAGAACATTACTCAGGAGACCTGGGATTCAGGACCATGTTACTGACACTTTGGTTAGAGTATGTGTGCCTCTCTGAGCATTAGCCTCTGTCTGGAAGAGAATAATAACCTGATGATAACCCTGGCCTTGGGAGACATTATGGGTTTGAACTGTGTTTCCACCAAAGTCACAGGGAGAAGTCCTAGCCCCAGTGTCTCAGAATGTGTCCTTATTCAAAGACAGGGTCTTTACAGAGGCAATTAAATTTGAAGGAGACCGTTAGGATGGGCTTTGGTACAATATGATCTAATGAAAAAGGGAAATTTGGCCACAGAGAAATGCACAGAGAGAAGATAATGGGAAGCCACACAGGGAGAAGATGGTCATCTCCAAGCCAAGGAGAGAGATGGGGAACAGATACCTCCCTCACAGTCCTCAGGAGGAACCGACCCTGCTAAAACCTTGACCTTGACTGTCTACCTCCTGAACTACAGGATGATCCATTTCTATGATGCAAGCTGCCTAGCTGGCAGTACCTTGTGACGGCAGCTCTGGGACTCCAATAGAACAGGTGGTTGTTTGGACAAGGTAAGGGGTATAAAGGTGCGGTGCAACTATTAGCCATCACACAAATATATGGCCTATATTTTTGCCTGCCACTGTTAAGTGATCATATACTGTGTGAATTGGGGAAACTGTGCACAAAGCCTCGTACCAGTTCGTCCTCACTGTTCACTGAGGCAGAGACTTGAGTCTTTATCTTCTCTCCTTCCCCCTCTTCCAGCTGCTTCATAATCCTGATCAGCATCCACAATGGTAAAGAGGTATTGAGCACCTACTGTTTGCTCAGCCCTGAGCTGGAGGCACAGATGCCATGGTGCCACAGGTGCCATGGTGCCACAGGGGAGGAGCATGTGGAGAGAGAGATGCAGCCCTCTTTTTTATTTTAAGAGGGAGCAAGGGACTCTGGCCATGCTGGAAGAGTAGAGGAGTTGGAGGAGAAGAGACAGGACTACTTAAATTAACTCCACGGGCAGTGATTTCCTTGGCTTAGACATCCCTGGGAATCATTTTATCAATGATGATGAGTGAGGAGGAGTCTGGTGAGATCCCCATGCACTGGGCCCGGAGCGAGGTACCTTGCCTGCAGGTGCGCATGAAATTCTTCCAACTCCCGTGTAAGTGGGATGCTGAGGCCCACCACACATGTGAGGAAGGTGAGGTGTAGAGATAGTAGCCACACCTAGGTACCCAACAAACAGCTGGTGGAGCCTGGATTCAAACCCTGTTCTCTGGGTCCCAGTGTCTGCATGTTTAACTCTTCCCTGTGTTCCTCCCTGGGTCTTCGATCCATGGCCTGTGTCCCGTTGGTCCCCCTAAACTGTGCTCCATCTTACAGCTCAGGGCTTGTTTTGGCGGAGTTCGAAGGCCTCTCTGTTGTGACCTTCTTCACCTCCCCAGAGCCGGGCTGTGCCCCAACGCCCATGCAACCTCCAATCACGGGCTGACACTTGGTGAGGGTGCCACTGGTGGAACTTCAGGCCTTGCCACCGAGGCTCTTAGAGACAAAGGAAAGGGCTGGCAAGAACTCAGTCCTTCCTGACCCAGCTCCTCGGAGATTCCAACAGGACAGTCGAGCCGCAACAAGAGTCTCTGATGCAAGCCTAAGCTTCCAGGGAAGCCATGAAGGAAAACTAGGGCACCACCCAGCCAGGAGGAGCAACCAAGTCCACCCGGTGACCACTGGGTGACTGACACCACGGCTGGGCAGTTTCCGCAGGGTGTGGCGCAGCAGCCTGGAGCCTGTCCGTTTGGAGCAGGAGGCCCGACCCCGGCTTACCTCTGTGATGCGGGGGTTCGTGCACTTGCTGTTGGCACCAGACAGCTCCAGCCACCGGCTCTCCTGGGCAGGGCAGTGCTGGCGCAGGGTACACTGGCCCGGACTCTGGCACCAGCCACATGCGAAGTCTGGGTCAGCCTTGAGGCATAGCCCGCAGCTCTCGCGCATGGCTCCACACTTGTAGAGGTGAACTGCAGAGGGGAAGGGCAAGGGCAAGGGGTGCTTGGGAACGGCAGTGGGGACAGGAGGGGGCCAGAGAGGGACAAAGAGTGCAGTCCCAGCCTGGGGCAATGGGGCACAAAGGCAGCTTTGCCCCCTTAGCCATTCTGATGCAAAAAAGAACCAGAAAGAAAGTCCAGGCCAGAGCAGAGGGACTGAAATGGGAAGCTCTGGGAACTCTGTTCACTCAGCACTCAGCAGCCCTTCCCAGGAAGTCCTTTGCACACCACCTCCTCCCAGAAGCCACCAGCCCAGGTCAAGCTGTACAGAGCCCATGCTCAAGAAGTAACAGAGAAGCACAGATGGTGGAGAGGCTGTGAGGGAGAGGCTCAGAGGGACAGGGACAGCCACCAGGAGGTGGGGGCAGAATGACACCTGCGAGAATGCAGGGCGGCTCCTTCCCTCTCTACCCTGTCCCTTCCCCTCCCTCCCCTGCCAGGCCCCAGCCCTTCCACACCTTTATTCTGAGCTGGGTTGTCAATGTTGAAATGCCCATTCCACACGACTGTCAACTCCACGGGCAGGTTGTTGATCTCCATCCCTTCATAAGAATACTGAAGCCAGGTTGGAGAGGAGGAAAGAAGAAAGTGGGGTCACAGAGAGTTCTAGAGAGGGCCCAAAGGATTAGCCTAGGGCTGTTAAGAGCTCATGGGCTAAGGACTGGCCAAGACTGTGCCTGTGTGCCTGTGTCTACCTGTGTGCACACAAGTATGCGCAGGCACATGTGGGTACAGGTGGGGAAGTGTATATTAGAGGGAGTGGAAGATAACACAAGGGTGGGCCAGGCCTCCAAGCATGCCCCTGTGGGTGCCAGCTCAAGGAGCAGATGGGAGCAAGCCACTAGGTCATCTCCTGTGGGTCTCAGGCAGGAGGCCTGTTCCCACCCCGCTTTCCTGAGAGGTAAAACTGAGGGAAGAGTCCACTTCCTCTCGGGCTGCCCAGGGAAACCCTGGTCCCTAGGCCCTCCCAAGTCTGCAATTAGGTTGGGGAACTCTAATTTCCAGGAAATGTCCAGGATAGGTGGATGCTTTTCCAAAGACCTGGGGAGGGGAGATCACTTCCCAGGCAAGATGGTGGTTGCAGAGACTAAGAAATGAGGGAGCTACACCTTAGGGGGATGAGAGGCTAGAAGTTAAGAGAAAAGAGGACTAGATGGGAGCTTGTTGGTGAGGGGGAAATCCTGAGGACCCTGGAGGGCAAATATGGGAATCTGGGCCTGGATGCTGCAGGTAGTCACCAGCTCAAAGCCAGGCTCACACCCAGATTCCTGTTGTGCTCCTGTCCTTGGAGGGCCCCTCAGGGTCCTGCTCCCCTGCTAAGAGATAGGAGGTGAAGGGTGGAGAGAAGAGGGAAGTGCTGGCTTGAAGATGCTGGTGGAGGGGACAGTCCCCAGGCATGATGGCCCCTAGTCTGCCTTCCCATAGCAGACCCGTCTCAGTCCCCAGAGAAAGAGGGTTAGCAGAGGAACTTAGAGCCCACCCTGGGCAGCAATTTCCAACACCTACCTGGTGATTTTCTCATTATTCCACCCGACTCTGCTCGCCACATGGGGCGGGATGGAGGAATGGAATTGGGACAGATTTTCTGCATAGGAGGGGCTGAGGCCTGGCAATTTGTTGAAAGAGGTTAGTCCAGAGGACCAGGTTTGAAGTTATGTTTGCAGAACCCATGGGCTCTTTTAATTCAAATTAGATTTGAATTAAAAATTTGGAGGGCTTCACTAGGGGGATGTTGACTGATATTACGGGAGGCTGCTGAGGCTCCCTCCTCCAAGTTGGCCATGGCACCTTCATGGAGAGGGAGGGTGGCCACAGGACATGGGAAAACACATCTGAGAAGAACCTCAGAGGGCTACTGTTCACACCTCTGCCTCTGGGCAGGGACAGGTCTGCACCCTGTTTGTAGGAGCTTCTAAAGGAGACGTTATACTCCTCAATGCAGGAAATCACCCTAAATTCCTGAGTTACGGAATGCACTCCCATGAGAACAGACTGTGACTTGATGTTGCCCTCATACAGCAACCGCAGGAGGACATGCCTCCAGTCACTTCGGGCCCTGCCCTAGTGTCCAGAGTTCTAACTCCCTCCCTGGCGACATGTGCTGTGGCCAGAGAGCCACGTTTGTTGTTTGTCCCACAATGGATGCACTGCATCCCCCTCGTTGAATCTGTCTTGTGAACAATGGCTCTGGGGCCAGGGCCAGGGTCCAAGCTCACAGAGTAAAGCAAAGTTTCCTAGCCCTGCAGAAACCACAGTGGAGACTTTGATCATCACAGAACTCAATCATCAACTCCCCACAGGTTGTCTCTGCAGCTGGGTCGGGCTGGGTGGTCCTATGTTTCCTGAAAACCTCTTCTACTTTAGACTGGTGCTTCTTAGTGTGGTCTATGGACTCCTTCATCAGAACCACCCAGGGGGCCTACTAAAATGCAGATTCCCGGGCCCATCCCAGATCTGCCAGACTGGAACCTCTGGAGATGGGGAGCATTTTGAGAACTACCCTGTGATTCCGGTGCTGATTAAAGAGTTAGAGAATCTCTGTAGTCTGTTAGAAGTAGGGAGGTAGATGGACTGCCCCTGTGGAGGGAGAAGGGTATAAGAGGGGGATGACCTCCCTCCCTTCCTCCCTCCTTCGGGGTGTGTGTGTGTGTGTGTGTGTGTGTGTGTGTGTGTGTGTGTGTGAGAGAGAGAGAGAGAGAGAGAGAGAGAGAGAGAGAGAGAGAGACACAGAGAGAGAGAGACAGAGAGAGACAGAGAGAGACAGAGAGAGAACTTCCAGGCTTCCAATTCCCTCCTCCAGCCACATTCAGTTTCTTCCCATCCTTCCCATCTCTCTCCTTGAAGGTCCCAGTGGGGAAAGGTGATCCCAACAGACTTCAAACTGCTGTCTGGATGACTCTGGGCAGGGCTGGCTGTTCCACCCGAAGCTGAGCACCATTTGATCACCTGGAAGCAGTGCTGGGGCGGGCAGAGCTCTGACCTTTAGGAGGGATACTGGCAGTGGCTATGTCAGGATGGGAGCCTGGCTTCTGCTTTCAGGCCTGGGTCTAGCCAAGACACAAAGTGGAAGCGGCAGGTGGTGACCAGGAGTGTGTTAGCCAAAGATCAATAAATCCTCAAGCCCCCTCTCAGGAAGGACCTGACATCCCACAGAGAGGAAGGCAAAGAATCCTACATACGTATGCATGTGAGCATCTGTGTACACAAATGTGTTTATGTGCATGCTGACTTGAGGAGAGGTTAGCACACATCTCCATGTTATCTGTGTCCATAAATGCACACGCACATAGACACACAGACACACACAGTTCCACAAAGTGGTTCTGCCAGTGACCAGCTGTGTGAAGTGAGCAGATAATCCAAGTCTTAGTTTCCCCATTGGTAAAGTGGGAATTCAAAGCAGTTCACATCTCCTTGGATTGGGGTAAGGATTCAAGATCAAGCACAGCATGCTCTGAGCATAGGATCTGTCATATAGTCTAAGCACTCAAATGTGATTTTGTGTTTTAGTATATGTGCATACAGTTGGGGATGCTATGCAAAACTATATTCATGTTGCCTATGTTTATGTTTGTGTAGAAAAATAATAGCAGCCATGCATTGAGTGTTTCTGTGCCAGACCCTTAATATGTATGGGATGTATGCATATGAGAATGCTTCTGTGCTCTGGTATGTGTGTGTGTGCATGTGTGCAAGCATGAATTTTCTCTTTGAAGAAATTGAAAATAAAAAAGACATTAGGATCACATATGCTGGGCATTTCTTTCTCTCCCCCAATGCTGGGATCACAACTATGAAATATTAGAGAAATCATTAACCCCATGTGCTCCCCCAAACCCCCCTCTGTCTCTAGGGAAGTTTCCACTGTTCCTGGAGGCTCTCTCTCCTGTGGATGACCTGCAACGTGCCTGGGGCAGGGTAGGGGAAAGGGGTGGGCATGGCAGACGGAGCCTCTCTGCCTCTGCAGACAGCTGGGAGCCTGGACCGCAGGCTCCCATCCCCCAGGATCCCCCCATCTCCACTCCACTTAGCATTTATATAGCTCTCTGTAATCAGCGGGCAGTTAATCTGCACAAAGCTCAGAGCCCGGGGAGGACAGGCTCCAGGCTCCTGGAGGCTGGGAGGTTAAGTGTCTCAATCAAGGTCTGGCACACCATGCCGGGCTAATGGATGACTTTCCCCATTACCTTGGGAAAGTGTGAACCTCAGCTTCTACTTCTAAAGCAAAAATGAGACCTTGATATAACTGAGACATTCTTTCTTCCAGCCAGTCCCTTGTCCCGAGATCTAAGATATTTTGCCGGAAAGTTCTGCCATTTGGGCAAACAAATCTCAACAACCTAATGCTACATAAGAAGCTGGTATGTACCCTGTGTCCATCTCTAGTGCAGAGGGCTCTGCTGACCCCTTTTCAGCTGTGTCCCAGTAAAGTAGAAAGGGGGCAAGTTCTCTTCCTATTGCTCCCCTATTCCGGTTTTGCACGTGGTAAATGAAGGTGCCAAGAGAAAACCAGAGGCCAGCATGAGTCCGCGGAAGCTGGGCCTGGCTCCGGCCCTCACGACCAGCACTTCAGCCAGCCAGATGCCCTTTGCAGCCCACTCACTGGTGTGATTGGCAGCCTCTGAGAGCTGGTGGCCATGCACTATTATTAGCAGCACTTGACATTTTCCTAGAGCCTTGGTCTAAAGCAGGCCACAAATACCCACAGTTGCTTCCCCTCAACTGCTACCTGTGAGTCCGCTCTGTCCTCCTCCCACCAGCCCCTGGGGGCTGCAGCCATTGGCTCAAGGCCTGTCCCCGCATAATGGGGTTGGAAGTGGCTCCACCACCCCAGCCCAGTGTCACTCCCACACTGAATTTTCTTCTTTTTTCTCTGCTCTCCTCTGAGACTAATTTATCACCCACCTCCTTCTGCCATCACAAACTCATGGATTTCTTTGTTAGATCCCTTGTCCAATGCTGTTTCGATTGTTCATGGATTTAGGAAATGAAACAATTTCTTCTTCCACACAATCCTCTTTGAGGCTGATCAGACCATACTCCCAGGAATAACACCAAAGCTGGGGTAGAAAGTGCCCTTCGCTGCTGTTCTTTCTCAACCTGTGATTAGGGGTTGTGTTATAAAACTGGATTCAAGTTCTCAATTTGTGCCTTACTTGCTATGTGATCTGGAGATGGTCACTTGCCCTCTCTGGGCCTTGGAGACCTCATCTGTAACAGGATTAAGTAGATACTCTCTCAGGTCTATTCTTGCCTGATGGTACCCTGTTTGCTGTAACTATGGTGGGGGAGGGTTGCTCCGATCATGACCGCAAAGATGTTTGATGGAAATCGCTTGATGGCAAGCAGCAACCTGACCCAGACCAGCATTTAAACTGGGATTCCACTGTCCCCCATGAAAAGAGAGGCTCCTGGGAAATGGCAGAGCTGAGCCCTCCAGAACTATGTGATTCCAGTGGGTCCTAGGAAGCAGAGGGGACTCCTCCTACATTCTACTGTCTGAGGGGTATCCCTCCTGTTGCCTCACTTTTTTTTCTCAGACTTTAAAATGGTAGAGAAATCACCTCTCATACAACTAATGGTGTCAAAATTAAAAAGTCATGGAGGCAAAGTCAGCTGCGCTGCTTTGGAAGCGGTGACCTGGGGGCACATACACCTGGCCCATGGTGGATGGGGAAGCCGCAGCTCTGAACTCCAGAGGGCCAGAGCATAGCGGGAGCCCTCCTCAGGTCCCGAGTTGGGGGCAGGGCACGGGCCAGGAGCTTCAGTCTCAGGTTCTCTCCTTGGTGAAGGGAGCCGCAGCTTCCAGGCCTCCAGCTCCAGTGCCAACAGGGGCTGGAAGTAGAACTGACCACTGTGTCCTGGGATATCAGGCTTCCAGATGTGAAATTCCCAGGGGTGGAGCTATGTCACTTGCTGATTTCTTGAGGTCCAAGGATTCAACATCTGACAAACAGACTGTGTGCACACTGGAGCCCAGTCGTTCCCTTCCTTTTCCCATGGCTGCCGACGAGGATGCCAGCACTAGGTACCCCATGGGGACACCATGAAGGAGGAGACAGCACTCACCTTCCTGGTGCTGCTGAGACCCTGTTTGTGCTCTTGTTCTCAGGAGGCTCTGATTTCGCACCCATGTTTGGGGAGTTCCCTGTGATGGCTAAGGACTCATTTTGGTCAGGCAGCTCTTGGCCTGGGAAATGCTGAGGACATTTCAACACAATCTACTTCCAATTCTGGCAGTCAATAGAATGGCAGAGGGTCCCAGCGAGCTTCTTGGAAGCTAAAGTTAGTCCCCAGGGCACAAAAGAACTTCCGACCAAGGGGTCTAGAAGACTTAACTCACGCTGTTGTCTGAAGTATCTTTGTCTATTAACGGAGTCAACCAAAGCCCAGGCCATGGGGTCCAGTTTTATGACACTTGTGTCCCTCTCTTGGGGAACTGAAGGCACAGCCATCTGAGGACCACAGGCTCTATCCACCCTTCTGACATCTCCAGATCCTTGGGGCAGCTTCTCTGAAGAAACAAGGCTGTTTTCCCCACCGTTTGAGATCCTCATCAGCCTTCTGCAGAGTCAAATGTGAGGCCCAGATGCAGGTCTCTTTCTATAGGGAGCGTCTTGTTTTGGAGAGAATGACTTGAGCCAAACCCTTGGGGCTGATCTGCTTGAACTGAGAATTTATGGGGAAACAGGAGGTGTTTAATATCTCCTTTGCTTGCAGGTTTAATCTGGAGTGCTGCAAAAATCTGAAAAATAGGTTGGCCGCCAGGGGAGGAGGGGGATGGGCACACGGGATGCCGTGGGGACAACATCTGGGGTTTCAGAGGTTGTGAGAGCAGCGACCAGTTCTATCCCTGTAATGCTGAGTGACCTAGGGCAAGTGTGTAGGATTCTCTGGGCTCCATTTCCCCCTGGACTACTTCCTGCAGGAAGAGTGGGGTGTCCCACGAAATCCTTTGTCTGGGACTTTCCTGGTCGCACATCACATCTCCAAATACAGACACTGTATGTAAGTGCCCAGGAGCAACTAGAAGAATATATGGGAAACAGTGTGACACAGGAGGGGCCCTCAAATCCAGGCCACCTCTGCCACTCACTAGTTGTGTGACCCTGAGCAAGTCACTTACCTTCTGGCACATTTTGGGATGCATTACCCCAAAGTGAATAGAGCTTCAGCTTCTGGGCCTACACTTGCACACACAGCCCCTTTTAAGGCCTATGTATCTAATTTTGTACTTACTATATTTTGGTCTTAAAGAAGGTCTCCAAATGGTATGTCTCACCCCACAAACCTAGATCTGCCCCTGCTTCCAGGCCTCCACTTTCTCTTTTGTGCAGTGAAGAAAAACTTTAAAGTTTCTATGACTTGAAAATGTTCTGAATCTATGTGTCTAGTGTTTGTCTCTGAGCATCTGGGCACAAAGAAGGGAGCCCAGAAAGACAGAGAGAGAGAGACCAAAGCAGTAGCTGGAAAGGCAACATGGCAGGTGCGAAGGGAAGTGGGCAGGAAAGGTGATACACAGGTGGGGTTCACTGTGGGGTACCTAGGAATGAGGTAGACAGCTGTCGGCAGCCTGGGGGCTGCTGACCACTCATTGACAGGGCTTGGGCTTAGTGTGGATTTGCTACACATTGGGCAGGGTTTGTGCCGATCTAAGCAGCACGCTCCTGGCCAGCTTCTTCCCTTCTGTTGGTTCTTCCTGCCAATGCTTGGTCTGTCTCAGAAGCCTTCTCTGCTGAGAAACAGCCTCTTTGTAGATGTGAAGGTGGTGGGATGTCTTTGGGGCTTGTTGAGAAGGCAGGGCGCAGGGCTTTCAGAGCTTCTTAGGAAAGAGGATGGACATGAAGGTTCCTGGAGCCCAGCATCTGCCCACAAACAGGGCTCACAGCTCCACGGCTAGTCCAATATCCCTTCTAATCCTGTCTTGCATGGACAACCATCATCACAAAACATTTACAGCTAGGGCCAGGCCCTGGGTGACCTCAGAATCCAGCACGTGGCTGGGGCAGGTGTTGTGGGGCTGGGATGTGCCAGCAGGCATGGCGGAAACAGGTGGCAGTTTTGTGCATGTTGAGGAAATGACTGCAGGGCTGAGCTGATTTGGCTCTGAGAAAATGACAGTGATGTGGGCGGGGCTGGGGCCTGGTTTGGCGGTGGGCAGGGTTGGGTGACTCACAGAGGTGTTCTGGCACTGTACGCTGGAGCTGTTGAAGCGCAGGGCGGGCACCCGCTGCTCGCTGCCCTGGATGTTGAGGATGCATTCGTAGCCACGCTGCCCAGACTGGGGCTGGGGGAGGTTCTTGGCCTTCAGCGTGATAGGCTTGATCACCTCCACAGGCACCAGGATCTTGTCCACTCGCAGCAGCTGGGGGCAGTCCTGGGGACAGAGGGCATGGCTCAGGCTGGGCAGCCAGGAAACCAAAAGAGCAAGGACCTCTGCAGACATAATCCAGATGTTCCCTGTCTCCACCCTTCTATGGACACACCCACAGGTGACCCCTGAGGTGCTCGTGCCTACCCAGTGGGCAATGCACTGAGGACAAAAATGAAACTGAGGAATCTGGGGTCCTAGTGTCATATCTTGAGGTGGTCCCCACCCTCTTTGGGTTCCCTGAATACCTTCCTTATGCAATCCAGATTCTCTGACACTCCTGTAGCCTCCTCATGGCACCCTTCTACCCTAGTAGAGACTGCCTCTGCTGGCTAGGCCTCCCCCCCGCCACTGCGGACTGATGATCTCTTTGCCTGCTAAGTTCTAGGCTGTCAAGAATTGGGATGGATAGACCATGTGAGAATCTCCACAGAGAGGCAAAGCCCTGGGCCCTACTCTGTCCCTGGAATGTGAGTCTTGACTGCAGCAGAGGGGCTGGGAGGACCTTCCCTACGTGGGCTGAATCTGATGTTTGAGAATGTTCTGGAATGGGCCCCAGAGGCTTTATAAATCCAGAAGCTTCTGACCAAGCTTTAGGATGTCCTGGCCCCAAAGAAATGCCTCTCAGAGTAGAAACACTCTGAGCTCTTTCTAGATGCTAGCAATGGGCATACTTAGCCCTGGAGCCACAGGAGCCCAGATGGCCTTTAGGATGGAGACAGTGAATCACTGGGCCCCTTTTTCCTGGGGCTATCGGCTTTGTCTAGGGAGGACTGGAGACATAAGGAGGTCAGAAGAAGGAGGGTGGGTGCTCTGCCCAGTTGAGTGGTAGGAGCTGGTGTGTTGCTGTATTCTCAGGAGCTGGGTGGAGGAGAGTCAGTATTGTAGCTCCTGCCGATGGATGTGGGCAGGCGTGAGGCCTTCCATAACACAAGCATGGCCTGGGCACCCCCTGTGCTAGGCAGGTCCCACCATCCCCCAGATTCCTCCATCTGTGGCACTGTCTGGGGCATGCCAAGACAGATGGCTCCTGGGCAGGTTGATCATCAAAAGCATGACGCACATGTTCTTTGTGAGGGTGCTTTGTCATGGGCTCACCACCAACTCTCAGCAGAGGCTTCTCTCCCCCACCTTAACACTTGTCCTCAGCAGAGTAAGGCAGAAAGGAAGCCACTGAGGAATGGTGGAAGGGAGGGGTTCCAGGTAGTTAGGCAACTGGCAGCTGTCCCTCCCAGGTCCCAGAGCAAACATGAGCCAAATATCTCTGTGCCATTACGAGCTACACCATAACAAGACTTAGGCTCGGAGGGAGAAGGCTTCAGCTAGCTCTAGCACCTCTGAGCTGCTGATGAGCTCTGGAACTCTGAGCACATTTGAAACTCAATTTCCGTATCTATTAGTTGAGCGGGCCTCCAAGGCCCTGTTCATGTTAACCCATCATGATTCCATGATTTGGAGTGGTTGTTCCCTCTATGCTTTCTGATCATCCAACAAGAAAAGAGGAGGGAAAGAGAGGCAGGGGAAATGGAAGCAAGAAAGGGAGAGAGAAAGCTATAAGGGAAGCTAGGAGACAGAGAAGAAGCTGGAGGAGCAAGACCATGGTCCACAGATGGACCAGCAGTGGAGCCTTGCTTCATGGGAGTGTCCCAGGCCCATTAAACTAATCCTTCCTCCCATGCCCCTACAGGCTGCTCACACGTTTATCCTGAAGTGCAGCTAAAAGAGGAGCTGCAGATCCAGAAATTCCACTCCTGGGTTTACATGCCCAGAGGAACTGAAAACAGAGACTCAGAAATCTGCACACCCATATTCACAACAGCATCATTCGCAACAGCCAAAAGGCAGAAGCAACCCAGGTGTTCACTGAGGAATGAATGGATAAACAAAATGTGACCTATTCATACAATGGAATATTACTCAGCCTTGAAAAGGGAGGAAACTCTGCTATAACATGGATGAAGCTTGGGGACGTTATGCTAAGTGAAATAAGCCAGCTACAAAAAGGCAAATACTGCAGGGTTCCACCTGTAGGAGGTCCCTTGAGCAGTCAATTTCATAGAGACAGAAAGTAGAATGGTGATGTCTAAGGGGAGGCAGGATGGGTAGTTGTTTGACGGGAACACCACCTCAGTTGGGGATGGTGATGACAGCTGTACAACAATGTGAAATGTACTTAATGCCATTGAACCGTATCCTTAAAACCGGTTCAGACGGTAAATGTTATGATATGTGTGTTTTGCCACCATTCTAAAACAATGAAGAGAAGCAGCAGGGAGGTGGGCCAGCAGGAAGAGAACAGGGGCCTTGGTCTTGGCCTTCACCTTGCGTGTGGTCTGAGGCTCTACAGCGTGTGGGTCTCTGGAGACACCAGGTAGCCACCTGTGGAGAGTCTTAGCAGCTCCATCCTGTGCCCCTACCACAGCCGCTCCCTCAGCCCCTGCTCTAGCAAGGTGGGAATGTGAGACACAAAGGAAAGAAGCGATTTGTGGAAAAGATGGAGATCAGAGCTGGAGTAGGAGGAGAGTGATATTGGCAGCTCGAGGAGAGCAGATCCTTGAGAGTGGGGTTGCTCTGAGTCCAGGCTCCACTTGACTCCACCCTCCCTCTGCCTGAGCCCTGGGCAGCTTCCCCTCCCCTGAAGCAGGAAGGAGCCTGACTCTCCCTCCTGCCACAATCCCTGGAGGGAGGTGGGTCTGGTCGCACTGGGAGTGAGAGCCAGGAGGCCCTGGAACCTCTTCCCTCAACCTCCCGCATCCACATGTTGCCACCCAGAAATGAGGCGCTGAGGGTACTGGAATCTCAGAATCCTCTGACTACCCTCATGGACCCCATCTATTTTGCAAAGGAGAAACTGAGGCAAGGAGAGAAAGAAGGGCTCAGTATCAGCAGATGAGCTGGTAGCTGAATAACTCAGATGCCAACTGCCTGAGTCACCAAGTTTCCGCCCTTCATGAAAGAGGCAAGTTCCCACCAATGGGCAGGACCACCTCAGGATGGGCTGGTCAGTCAGCAACGGTCCCTCTGAAGTCCAGGGGACTTGGAGCTGTGAAACCCTCTGGAGCTGGGCTGGAACCCTGCCTGGGGGCTGGACTGTTCTTGTCCGGGACATGGGCAGCAGCAAATGCCTCTCTCCCACGTCCCCTGTAAGATTTTTAGTGAGACGTGTGATGAGTTCTCTAATGAGTCCTGATTATCAGTAGCCCCATAAAGGCCTAGTTTGCATATAAAAAGGTTGGCAGCTCTGAGAGTAAGTTCATTAATAATAATTGGAGAGGCCCAGGGCTGGGCTGGGCACATTTTCCTCTAGTAGCGCTGCTGATTGACCCCAGTGTCCCTCCTAATTGAAATGTAAAATGGCAATTTCTCCCTAGGCAACAAGGCATGAAGGGACCACTTCCACCACCCTGCCCCTTCCTCCCACCCCAGCATCCCAGATCCTGACCTGCCTTGTGCTGAGATTCCAGATACAAAATCACCTACAGATCTGACACTCCAGGGAAACTTCAGAGAAACTTTCATATTCCTCCAGGGCGCGAGCCTGAGGCCCTGTTTCATGGCCCAGGGACTCAGGGCACCCAGACCTTTGTCTTCACCTTGAAGGCTCATCACCCAGCAGGAGTCTGGCTGGGAATCCTGTAACTGTGAGAGTAAGTCTGCCTCCCTCCTCCCCACTAGTTTCAGAGTCTTGAACAAGTCCTGTCATCATTGCTTGGCTTAACAATGAATAGGGATTGAAAATTCCTCTTCCAAATGACCATTTTGGGGATTCCATAAACTAACACATATAAAGCATCTGGCCTAGAGTGAGTGGACATTCAGCAAATGTTTGTCCTTTCCTCCCAACCCAGGCTGCATCTTGTCCCTCATCTGCTCCCTTTTCCCACCTCATTTCCAAAAGACCCATCTCCCTTGCATCCTGCCTCCACGCAATTTTCGGCAAATACCCCAGCAGTTCCCACCCAACTTATTCCAGTCCTCTGGGCTTCACATCTTAGGATAAGTCTGCCTAACTTAAATAGCTGTAAGTGTCCCAAACACAAGGGGGACTGGCAGGGAGGTCCCAGTTCTGGCCACTGCTCCCCGAACAGCAGCCTCCGCTTCTGGGAAGTGACATCGTAAAGTTGCACATTCCATGTGTCCTGAGACAGGAGATCTGCCAGCCATTTGGCCTTGGGCAAACCCCTCAAACCCTCTGGGTCTCTTTACCCATAAAATGAAGAGGTTGGTTTGGATTCGATGAATTGTGTAGTCCCTGGAATATTGTGACATCAGAAATATATATTGGTTCTCTTCCTCTGGCTGCTGGCACGGTGCTTCTAAAACCTTTGGAGTTTTCTGAATGACTGGGGGAAAAGGAGCATCTTTTGTTATTCACAGTAAGCCCTTTTCCACTATACCTGAGTTTATGTTCATGAGGTGACTCCTGGGGATGGGGGTATGTTGCCAGAGGATCCACACATGTAATTACAGGGTGGCACTTTAGCCCTCTCCTCTGGGGAAGGGAGAGGGGCTGGTGACTGAGTTCAACTGTCTACATAAAGCAGCCTCCATCAACACCCTAAGTGAAGGGGTTTGGAGTGCTTCCCCAGGGGTGAACAGGTGGCGATGTTGAGGGAGTGGTGCCCAGAGAGGACAAGGAAGTTCTGTGCCCCTTCCTACACCTTGCTCTAGGCACTGCTGCATCCAGCTGTTTATCTGTATCCTTTGCAACACCCTTTAAAAGAAACTAGTAAATGTAAGTAAATGTTTCCCCAAGTTTTGTGACCTGTTATAACAAATTATCCAATCTGAGGAGGGGATTGTGGGAGCCCCTGACTTATAACTGGTGGGTCAGAACTGCAGGGGACAACCTCAGACTTGCAATTGGCATCTGAAGTGGGGACAGTCTTGTGGGACTGAGCCCTTTAACTTGTGAGATCCAACGCTCACTCTGGGCAGGTAGTGTCAGAAATGAATTGAGTTCTAGGCTACCCAAGTGGTTTCTTGGGTAGCACCGAGGATTGAAG